TAGGATTTTTCTGTGTGCTGAGAACAGACATACCTATTTGAATAAAGCTACATTTTATTCAAATAGGTATATGTTTATAAATGGGAGAAAGATGACTTAATTCAACTCTGAAAGTAAGAAATTATGGTCTTTATTTAATAGAGGAACAGATTCATTCAGAAATTTAAGTCACTCTTCCATTACTATTATAGCTACAAAGTGGCTAAGGCAGTATTTTAACCCAAGCCTTTGACAGTTCCAATATTGAGAAACAAGAGTTGTACTTTCCAAAACCCTGCTTTTCCTTTTTCTGTCTTTTAATTGTAACTGAATAATTTATCTATTTTCCTCAAGTTTCAATCCCAGGCTCATTTGATTTCTTTTTCATCCCCATATGTAATTATTATTCTACTCCTGTTATTTCTACTTTTGCAATATCTTTTTTTTTTTTTTTTTTTGAGACAGAGTCTCGCTTTGTTGCCCAGGCTAGAGTGAGTGCCATGGCGTCAGCCTAGCTCACAGCAACCTCAAACTCCTGGGCTCAAGCAATCCTTCTGCCTCAGCCTCCCGAGTAGCTGGGACTACAGGTGCACACCACCATGCCCAGCTAATTTTTTGTATATATATTAGTTGGCCAATTAATTTCTTTCTATTTATAGTAGAAATGGGGTCTTGCTCTTTCTCAGGCTGGTTTTGAACTCCTGACCTTGAGCAATCTGCCTGCCTCGGCCTCCCAGAGTGCTAGGATTACAGGCATGAGCCACTATGCCCAGCCTGCAATATCTCTTTATCCTATCACCTTCTCCCCAGTTATTTCTACCATCCCTTCTTGTCCCACAGTGTGAGCTCCACGAGTTGAGAAATGTATCTTTCTTTATATCCTAAGTGCCTGACACGCAGTACAAGTGCTATATATGTGCTTTATCTTCCCAACTAGAACATTAGCTACATGAGCACAAAGTCCTTGTCTGTCCTGTTCATCATTGTATTTCAACACTCAGTTTAGTCTTTTAGCACCTAATTTACTCAGTGAATGAACTAGAGAATCAGATCCATTATGCTCCAGAGCTGGTATCACAAGGACCCCGGATGCTGTTACCAGCCGGCTGACTTCAGGTTAGTTCTGTTCTCTCATTGAGCGCCTGCTGTTTGCCAAGAGCAGGCTAAAATCCCAGCCATCAGAGCTCACGTTCTAGTGTGTGCAGAAAGACAATAAACAAGAAAAATAGTAGATCCGATCGTAAGTTTCATTGAGAAAAAGGAAGTAGAGAAGGAGTTTGGGGAGTGCTAGCTTGCAATCTTAAGTAGGATATTCAGGGATGAATTTCAGTGAGGTGATGCTTGAACAGGAATCTCAAGGGGATGAGAGGTCTGCAGACATCTGAGGAAAGAGAGTTCTAGGCCAAAAGGAGCAACAGTGAAGGTGCTGAGGTTGGTGTGTTTGAAGAGCAACAAGGAAATTTTGTGCAAAGTAGAAGCCTCTGGAAATCTTGAAAATATGCCAGTTAGAGGAAGCTAGGGGTCTTTAGCAAGTGCTACTGCAAGTGTGGTCCCTGGACCGGCTGTGTTGGGGTCACCACCACCCATATTAGATAGTAAGGCCTAAGCATGGAGGCTGGCACATGATCACTCCCTCCAACTTCTGTTGGTTAATAAGTTACTAAGATCAACCTGGGCTTGGACGGGAACTAGACTCCCAACCGTCAACACAAGGAGTGGGAAAGATTTTATAGCATCATTAACCTATCACAGCCACCCACTTCTCTAACCTCCTCTTATCTGTCCTCCCCCACATTCGGTACCTCTTAGACTCACTGGCCTCCTTTCTGTTACCATAAAACACTGTCCCACTTTCAGTCCTTTGCACTGTTCCTTCTGTCTCCAGCTTTTGAATGCTTGGATCTTTCTTATCCTTCAGTTCTTAATTCAGATGTCACGCCTCAGGCACACACATCACCCTTTTTCGTACCTTCAAAGCATTTGGCACATTCTGGAATTTATTTTCTTGTCTTCCTCCATATTTTTCCCAAGAGTGTAAAGTGGGACTCATGGGGGCTTCATGGTTGCACTTCTAGTGCTTTAAACAGGGCCTGACACATAATAATTTACTGATTGGCTAAATGTCAGTAGCAGCAACTCAGGAGGTTGAATGTGATATGCAGGTACTTCTGCTGGGCCAACTGCATAACACTATTTTATGTGAAGACCCTAAAGTCAGGCCAGTTCTACAATAGGCTTAGGTGTCTTCAGTGTTGCTAGCAACACAGGATGTGAGAGATCACTCACGTATGAATAACGTGCATTTAATTTCTAACCTACCATCATACCCCACCTCATGTTAATGGTGGTTGGCAGATGACCTCACCCACTCGGCATGCTTCATTTTCCAGCTGATGATGAAGTAACACTGGGCCCTTATTATACTTGAGACCTTTGCATTCAGACTGAGGATGGTCTTGAGTAGTTGCAACTTCTTTAGAGCCACAAACACTCCAGGGATATTAGTATCCTGAGTCTCTACACCCACCTTATAAAACAGCCATGTCATCAGCCTATTGGTAGGATATATAGCCTTACTGTCAAGATGTGTATAATCTGTACCAGACCCATCCCCCCTCCCTCCCAACCCACTCAGGTTAGAGCGGGGGTCCTCAAACTATGGCCTGCGGGCCACATGCTGCCCGCCTAGGACATTTATCTGGCCCTCTGAGTGTTTTTGTCGCCACTGCCTGTTCTGCTTAGCAGCCAACTCATCCCGGGCCCACAGTGCGCACTCTCCAACAGTCTGAGGGGCAGTGAACTGGCCCCCTGTTTAAAAAGTTTGAGGACCCCTGGGTTAGAGCCACCCTGGTTAATATCTGTCTCTGTGTATTACCATTTGATTTTTGACTTTACCCCCAGAGATGGTCTGCTTTTACAACTTTCCAACTCATTCTAAACTAGTATTAACTTTCCTACCATATAATGTTCCAAGAATGACAACAGAGTAACTTCATCTTATCTCACAGAAAGTAGTGTATTCCTGCCCCCCCAAAGTGACCCATCCCGTAGCAATTGCAGCTCTCTCCCCTTGACTGTCTTGTATCCCTCACTGCTTCTGAAATCCTGTCAGCTTGTCGGCATCTGGGTAAACTACAGGCAATCCAGCGGGACATGAAGGAAGGCCCCCAGCAGAACCCAAAGTGGAAAGGAGATAAAAAGATCAGAACAAGTGCATAAAGCAGACTGACTGCTGGCAGTACCATCCCATCTTCTTTTTTAAGATTATGTCCAAATTTTTTGGTACTCTTCCTCTTACTGTGGCCTAGACTCGGTGACTCCTAATGAACAGAACAAAGCAGAAGTGATAGCGACTTCAGAGACTACTAGGTCATGACAGGCACCGTGGCTTCCTGCTTTCTTGTCCTCTCTGATCACGTGGGGAGTCAGCTGCTGTGTCAAGAAGTCCCTCAGGTATCCCCTGGGGAGAGGCCCACGTGGTAAGGAACTGAGACCTTACTGAGCAACCTGCAAAGAACTGAGGCTCCTGCCTAAAGCCACCTTGGAAGCAGATGCTCTGGGCCCCAGTCTAGCATCGGGCAGCTGCCTCCAGAACACTGGAGCGAGACTGCCCAGAAGCAAGAGTGTGCTGTCAACCTTTGGGAGTCTATTGAGTTAAACTCTTCAACCACAAACTCTGAAGGTCTGAGGGGCAGAGATAGTGTGTACATTTGTTCTGATGGCCATAAACACCACCCCATCACCTGAGTGACCCTGCTGTGGTTCCATACTTAAGGTTTGTTGTTTTTTTCACCTAGTCCCCTTCTGAAATCTAACTATTCCCTACTGTTGACACTTTGCTCTGACCCCTGAATATGTTACTTATTTAGATATAAAGTGCCCATTCTCTACCCACCCCCCATGTCTATAACTTAAGACTCTTTCTCTGTCTGGCAGCCACAGGCAACAGAGAAGAACTTAGGCTAGAATAGCCCCCAGGTCTCCTGGGTCAGCCAGTTGGAGGTGCACATAGTGGTGTGATTCCCTGTATCTACAAAGCCAGGCTGATCTGAAAAGGCCACGGGTGCAGAATGGAACTGCCATGGCTCCTCCCAGTTTCCCAGACTGCTACTGCCTTGTTGCCTACCAGCTGCAAAAATGATGCAGCCTTGGGGAGTATTTAATCATAAATTTCACAGCTTATACCTTATATTCTTATATTTGGTACTAGGAGCTAAGTGAACTGTAGAAAAACCAAATACATACACACATACATACATACATAATAGAGGTTTAACATGAAACTTTAAGGGATTATTCCACCAGATTTTTAAAAAATAGCTTTACTGTTATTATAAAATTGACATATAATTCGTTAAAAGGTAAAATACACAAAAGTACAATGAAGGTATTACACCACTCACATCCCACCTGCCAGAGATAAGAAGTTACAACACTGACCTCACACTTTTCTCTCTCTCTCTAAACACACACTTAAAAATATATTAACAAAATGGTATCATGGCATATTTGTTCTACAACTTTCCTGGTTCACTAAATAGTTTGTGGGCAATCTTCAATGTCATTATAGATGTACCTGAAGATTTTTAGTGATTTTTCTCTTGTATATATGTGCCTTAAACAATTTCCTACCAATGGACAGTTGGGACATTAATATTTTTTTGCTATTGTAAAAAAAATGCTAGAAACTCAGCCATCTGCATATGTGTTTTTGCCCACGTGTGCAATTATCCCCCATGTACACAGTTATTGCCACTTAAAGGTTATACAAGTTGAATTGGATCCACTGACAGATTCTTTTGAAAATGACTGTACCTATTTTCACTGTCACTAATAAGTGCATCCATCATACTGCATATTTCCACAACCCCACAATGAGGGTGGATGATTTGGTCAATCTTTTTTTTTTTTTTTTTTTGAGACAGTCTTGCTCTGTTGCCCAGGCTAGAGTGCCATGGCATTGGCGTAGCTCACTGCAACCTCAAACTGCTGGACTCAAGCAATCCTCCTGCCTCAGCCTCCCAAGTAGCTGTGACTACAGGTGCACACTACCATGCCCAGCTAATTTTTTCTATATTTTAGTAGAGATGAGTTCTCACTCTCAAGATGAGCTCAGGGTCATCTTGAACTCTTGAGCTGAAGCGATCCTCCCACCTCGGCCTCCCAGAGTGCTAGGATTACAGGTGTGAGCTACCTCACCTGGACAGATTTGGTGAATCTTTTTTATCAATGCTAATTTGACAAGTTGAAAATGGCATTTCTGATTCATAAGATACTCTAATATATTTGTGATGTTTTTAAAAAGCTGTGAAATGAAATGGGGTAAAAATATTTGTGATAGCAATAAAACATCTTCCCAGAAATACACTTAAGAATATTCAGAACCTATTCTGAATCATCTCTAAAAAATATTATTGAGGGGTCACAAATACTTGACTAAGTGGAAACAAACAGTATTTTTTCAAAATGGAATAGAAAATCAGCATTTTGAAGATGCAAGTTCTTTCCAAATTAAACCATAAATTCACTGAAATGCCAATTAACAGAATGCAATGCCAGTCATATTTTGTTTTTGACACCTGGTAAAAAGCCATCTTCCTGCAGTTTACTCACAATGTTGTCTCATTGGTATCACCCCCATCAAGAACTCTGTCCACAATGTGCACCTTGGATACTGCTTGTACATTTGTTAAAGCTTCCTTCTAGGCTGACTCTGATGACAGTGACGATTTTTATTCTCCTCCTGTGACTATTTTGGTGAGCAGGAGACTCCTTAAGACTGATGTGTGTGACTGAAGTGCTACCTATGTATCACACTTCCAGGTCTTTCCATCCTGTGTAGACTAGCCGACAACTGTCTACACCAGATCCTTCCGCAGCTCCTCCTGCCCATCTCTTTCACTAGGTTTTCACCCTGGGTTGGCCCTCAGTTGAATAGAAAGTTCTGAGTTCCAACTAGAAACCTCAACTTACATCTACTTAGGTTTCTCACTTAAATGCATTCTCTGGTGGTTTCGCAGACCTGAGCTATAACTGAAGCCTTTCCCACACTCCCCACACTTATAGGGCTTCTCTCCAGTGTGGACCCTCTGGTGGACATGAAGACAGGAGCTGCGGCCAAAGCCCTTCCCACACTGCTCACATCTATAGGGTTTCTCACCAGTGTGGACCCTCTGGTGACCTTGGAGATGTGAGCTCTGACTATAGCCCTTCCCACACACGTCACATCTATATGGTTTTTCACCAGTGTGTACCCTCTTGTGACTGAGGAGACCTGAGCCGTATCTGAAGCCCTTTCCACATTCGTAACATGTGTAGGGCTTCTCTCCTGTGTGCAACCGCTGGTGGGTGCGGAGGTTGGAGCCATAACTGAATCCCTTGCCACACTCATCACACGTATAGGGCTTCTTTCCCGTGTGGACACGCTGATGTTTGTGAAGGCTTGAGGTGCACCGAAAGCCCTTTTCACACTTTTGGCACTTGTAAGGTTTCTCACCCGTGTGGACTCTCTGGTGAATGAGAAGGCCTGAGCTATAACTGAAGCCTTTGCCACACTCAGCACATTTATAGGGTTTCTCACCTGTGTGGACCCTCTGGTGGATGAGGAGGTCAGAGCTGTAAATGAAGCCCTTCCCACACACGTCACATATGTAGGGTCTCTCTCCTCTGTGGACCCTCTGGTGACTGTGAAGGTCTGAATTCCTCCGGAAGCCCTTCCCACACTCGCCACATTTATATGGTTTCTCTCCCGTGTGGACCCTCTGATGGACATGGAGGTCTGAGCTCCGGCCGAAGCCCTTCCCGCATTCGCATTTGTAGGGTTTCTCTCCCGTGTGCAGTCTCTGATGCATGAGCAGCCCTGAGCTGTAGCCGAAACTCTTACCACATATGTCACATTCATAGAGGCGCTGCCCCACGTGAACCCTCAGGTGAGCCTGAAGGTACGAGCTGTGACTGAAACCTTTACCACACTTGTCACACTGGTAGGGCCTCTCGCCCGTGTGCATTTTCTGGTGACTGCTGAGGTGGGAGTTACAGCTGAATCCCCTTCCACACTCGCCGCAGCTATAGGGCTTTTCTCCTGGGTGGACGTGCTGATGCTTGTGCAGTGCTGACTTGGCGCAAAATCCTTTGCCGCACTCACTGCACGTGTAGGGCTTCTCCCCCGTATGTAGCCTCTGATGGACTTGAAGCACTGAACTGTAACTGAAGCCTTTCCCACACTCGCCACATTTATAAGGTTTCTCTCCAGTGTGAACCCTCTGGTGGACGAGCAGGTTTGAGCTCCGACCAAAGGCCTTCCCACACTCCTCACACTTATAGGGTCTCTTTCCTGTGTGCACCCCTTGATGAATAAGTAGAACTGATTTATACCTGAAGCCCTTCCCACAGACGTCGCATCTGTAGGGCATCTCTCCCTTAGGGACCCTGGGTTGGCTGTGAATGTGTTTGTTCTGCCTGAAGCCCCAACCGCACTCCAGACTTTTAGAGGATTTCTCTTCTGTGGCAATTCTTTGATGGCGGTCAAGGCAGGCACTATGCCTCAAGCCCTTCCCAAACTCATGTTTACAGAGTTTCTCTTTGAAGGCCATTCTTGGATAGGTGGGAAGGTTTGAATCATCCCTCAAGCCACATTCACTACTTTTAAAACCATTCTTTCCAGGGTTAGGGTGATGAGGTGTGGACTTCTTAACGCAGTCTTTTCTACATCTATCGCAATTACACGGCTCGTATCTTTCAGAGAATCTGTGGGCATCATAACAATGTGATAACCAGTGGAAGCTATAATCATCCCAATCACATTGATATACTGTATCTCCCAAGTAGAGTTTCTTACATCTTTCTTGAACATTCCACGGCTCATTCACAAAGGCTTTCATCCAAGAATCTTGAGTTGGGACTGATTTCACAGCTCTGCAGGATGGAAACTCTTGCTTTTCTACACTGATGGGCCCATCCCCTTGTAGAATGTCCACCAAATTCTCAGTTCGAAAACCCTGAGTAGATGCTCCTTGCCACACTTGATGGGGGGCAGCGTCTTCTAACTGGAAATCTTTCCTTTGAAGACTCATTTGACAATCTTGACTCCTAGTTAATTCACCAGCCACTTGTTCCCAGATTTTCCAGAATGAGAGCTCTCTGTGTGAAAGGAACCTCAATTCTTTTTCTTGAATATACTCCATATCTTTTCTATTCTGGTCTCCTACGGGGTTAAAGACAATTCAGAGAAGAGAACAAGACTGGCTCAGGGACAGCAGGCTTTCAGCCTTGGACCAATGATGGCCTAGAGAAAAATTTAGCTTTATATCTTAACTAGTAGGGCACTTATTTTTATATCTGATGATATAAAGGAAGAAGGTCCTATTAACAAACTTTGAAGCTAAATGCTAAAATGAGCCTACTAATAACAAACTATGTCTCATCCCGGAGTTGTCATGCAAAAAGAGAAATTCTGAACAGATTTCCTTCCTTCCCTTCCTCCCCTCCCCTCCTTCTTCTCCTCCCCCTCTCCCCTTCCTCCTTCTCTCTCCCCTTCCCCCTTCTCCCCTCCTTTCTTTTGAGACAGAGTCTCACTCTCTTGCCCAGGCTAGAGTGCCATGGCGTCAGCCTAGCTCACAGCAACGTCAAACTCCTGGGCTCAAGCGATCCTCCTGCCTCAGCCTCCCAAGTAGCTGGGACTACAGGCATGTGCCACCATGATCGGCTAAGTTTTTATATATATTTTTAGTTGGCCAATTAATTTCTTTCTATTTTTAGTAGAGACGGGGTCTTGCTCAGGCTGGTTTCGAATTCCTGACCTTGAGCTATCCTCCTGCCTAGACCTTCCAGAGTGTTAGGATTATAGGCGTGAGCCACCACGCTGGCCTCTGAACTATTTCTACAGATAAAATTCACTTTATAATAAGTTATTGCTAACAATAAAGATACCTAACAATATTCTAACACTAATGTGCCAATGTACACATATTTAATCCTCAGAATAACACTAATATAAGTGCCATTATCATCTTCTAGAAAATGAAACCAAGGCAGAGAGAAAGTGACCTAGTACATGATTGCCACCATTCTGTGAGGAAGTGGTGGATCTGGGATTTGAAAGCAGGAAGTCTGGTTTAGGGCCCACTTAGCCCTCTCTCTGCATTGCCTCCCAGGCATACTGTACTCCTGGGTACGTGTGAGCTGAACTTGGGGAGGGAACAAGGCACCAAATCCTCCCAAGTGCACCAGCTGTATGTCCATGTCTGCTGTGATCTGACTGAATAGGAACCCAAACAAAATTGTTAAGGCAAGAAGACATAAAAATCTGACTAATGCCCATTACTGGTTGCAAATGATAAAACTGTCATATTTATCCTATAGTCCAAGATGTCTTTAAAAATTTTCCATGATTTCTGATATTCTTCACTGGCTGTTTTTATCTTTTAGGGCCCAGGTAGTAAGCATCTGTTTATAACCAGGGACTTGTAGAATACTGGAGTCAAGTGAGAAATTCATCTGAGGACTTTCAGTATTCTAGAACAGTCTCTCTGCCAATGGCTTGCCTTAGACTGCCTGGCTATTTCTATCGGAGGGAGGAATATCCAGAGAGCCCTTACTCAGTCTGGGTATACTATTCTCTGAAAGGCAGGAAGGAACTTCCTCTGAAAAGGAAAGTAGGAACTGAACAGCAGAAATGAAGTTGCAGAGAAGTCACCTCCCATGGTGCCTGCAGCATCCACAGCCTAGGGAGGGCAGGAATTCGGGTCTCTTGTGTGATAAGCTCAGCCCCTCACTGCCTGGCCAGGCTCTTATCTCCAAAGACTCTAGACCCCATGGCTCTCACCTGGATATGCATCTCGTGGAGTTTCTCCATCTGTCACCCAAGCTTCTTTGTCTTGTTCCAAATGGGATATCTTATCAGGTTGGAAAGGTGGTTGTCCTGAAAATGCAAGAAGATACAAGGCTGAGGCTCATTACTGACATGCAAAAAATCATCTGAAAATGCAGTCCTCATCCCGTGACCTGTAGGCCTTTGAAGAATAGACAAGGAGATGGTTAACCGCTGGCCAAATGAAACTGCTTTATAACAGTGCAATGGACTGAATGTGTCCTATGTTGAAATTGTAAACCCCAATGTGATGGTGTTAGGTGGTGGGTCTTTGGGAGGTAATTCTGTCATGAGAGTGGAACTCTCGGGCATGAGATTTGTGCCCTTATTAAAGAGACCCCAGAGAGCTCTCTTGCCCTTCTCTGCCATGTGAGTATGCAAAGAGAAGCCAGCAGTTTGCACCTCCAAAGATGGCCCTCAGCTGAACCTGACTATGCTAGCACCCTGACCTTGGACTTCAGCCTGCAGACTGTGAAAAATTTGTCGTTTATTTGCTACCTAGTCTATGACGATTTGTTATAGAAGTCAAGCTAAGACAACAGTTCTATATAAAAAGGACTTAAGCCATGTAAAAAACAAAAAAAAAAACCACAAAAACAAAACAACAACAACAAAAAAAACATTTTCTCTCTGGAGAACAGGAGGAACACTCCAGTAAGTTGTTTCAATTACCCAGAAAGATTTCCCTCACCCACAGAGACCAGGTTCCTGAAGTTCTCCAGCATCACTTCTCGGTACAGCTTCCTCTGGGCAGGGTCCAGCAGCCCCAGCTCCTCCTCCGTGAAGACCACAGCCACGTCCTTGAAGGTCAATGGCTTCTACAATGGAAAGCACCATGAACACAGACATCGACTAGACCAAAGATAAATTTGGCATCACTAAGGAAAGCAGACAAGAAAGCAGGAAGATGTTCAGTTTGGCCAGTCAAATCCCGTCTTAGTGCTTGGTGCTGAAAATTTGAATTCTAACCAAAATTCTTCCACAGATATCTAAAGAGTCAAGCCAGGAACACTCCCATCCTTTGCATGCTGTGAGCGCTTCTGAGAGTATTTTCCCAGAAATGGAATGGTTGACTCACTGGGTCTGTACATTTTTCAATTTGAGTCTAACTTGTAGATTGCCGTCTCTTCCTAAAAGACTATGACAACTTAGAGTTGCAGGAATGCTGAATTTTAGAGTGCCCCTTTCTGTACACACTACAAAAATCATTTTCTCTGCCACAATGATTGTTCTTCACCACTCATCTACTCACCCCTCCATCAGCAACTGGGAAAATCCTGCCCCCACCCAATACCCATTTTTTTTTTTTTTTTTTTGAGACAGAGTCTCACTTTGTTGTCCAGGCTAGAGTGAGTGCCCTGCCGTCAGCTTAGCTCACAGCAACATCAAACTCCTTGGCTCAAGCAATCCTTCTGCCTCAGCCTCCCAAGTAGCTGGGACTACAGGCATGCGCCACCATGCCCGGCTAATTTTTTCTACATATATTAGTTGGCCAATTAATTTCTTTCTATTTATAGTACAGATGGGGTCTCGCTCTTGCTCAGGCTGGTTTTGAACTCCTGACCTTGAGTGATCCGCCTTCTTAGGCCTCCCAGAGTGCTAGGATTACAGGCGTGAGCCACTGCGCCCTGCCTATGACAAGGTATTATAAGTTAAGAGTGAGCTGATTTTTTTCACTTACTAATAATTTGACTCTTTTTTTAAAAAACTTATTGATATATGTTCAAGAAGGAAGGCAAGGTGAATTTAGAAAGGTTTAGTGTGTACATGCCACCATGTTACTCATTCAAGACACGACGAGCACCTAGAAAACAAGGTTATGCAGCAGGAATTAGATAAGTGAAGAAGACACAGCCCTGCCTTCATGGGGCAGTGCTGGCAGCCCCCTAGACAACTCCTAGGTTCTAAGATTCACCAGGAGAACTCACAGGACTTGATATGTAGTCACACTCATGGCTAGGGCTTAATACAGTGAAAGAAAATAAAGTGCAATCAGGAAAGGGAAAAGATAATGGGTTGACTTGCAAATGCATGATTGATTTCACAAATGATACTGTCATAACTGGCTATGTATCTTGAAGAAAATGCAGTTAAATGTCAACCTTATGCCATTTACAAAAATAAATTACAGCTAGATTAGACATTTTTATTGTGATGATTTAAGAGCCATTTTGTTGCCTTTTTTAAATTAAGCTTAGGATGGGTGTGTGGCCTTTTGAAACAATGTATGAAGCTAGGTTTTCAAAAGATAACTAACAAAATCATTTCATTATATGAAAATTTTAAACTTCTTTATGGTCAAGCCACCATATAATGAGAAAAAATAATTGGAATACTTTTGATAGGTAAGGTAACAACCCTTCTATTAAAAGAGCTCCTAACAATGTGATAAGAATTAATGAGAAAATAGACATAAGCATTTCATAAGCCAATTCACAGATGAGAAAATACAAATACGGCCAATGAACATAGGAAAGGGTGCTTACTATGCAGGGAACTGCAAAGTAAAATGGGAAAGCTTTGCCATGCGCCCTCTGTCGGATCAGCAAAAATATTAAGTACTGATACATTCAAATACTCTGGCAATAATATATTAATATTAAAAGTTTAAAAAACAGATTGTCTGTATCCTGAGAGGTCGCTGCCTTGGGTCTGGTATCATTAAGTTGGCTTTAGTTTTTCTCTTTGTTGCTATGACTTCGTTTGGGTATGGAGTGCCACAAGACTTCGAGATATCCTGTAGTCTCGACTAGCTTCATATCAAAATTAGAGTGCTGACAGTTGGCAGTTGGTAGGTACTCTCTGATGAGGTGTTTCTTGGACGTGGATGTCCTATAACCGATGTGTGGCAGGACTTTTACATGTTTCTGTACCCTACATCTGACTGTGACATCCAATATGAGATTTTAAAAGGGAAGATTATTTTTAGCTCTGTGCTAACATTTGTCTCAAAAACCATCGCCAGAGGGAGCATTCGTGTTTGTCAGGTGTGCTGTTGGGCAGGACAAACCATCAGAACCTGCCACTACATACATCGCCCCAAGGCAGTCCAAATGGCTGGCTTCTCCAGTTTACAAAGAGGACATTGTGGACATTTTAAAGTGCACAGAACCTCTTTTCATATTTTAAAACACATTTTTCTTCTCTATCCGTCAGTATTGATGAAGTCAAGGAAGTGCCTAACATTAGATTATTGTACATCCTATGCTTCATTTTCTCTTCAATGGGAAAGAGAAGTGGGCTATATAATGTGATATATGGAGCAACTACAGCTGCCTGAGGACTGAGAAACAATATGCCTAAGCTATAGCTATCTTCTGAGGATTTCAGAGTTCTTACTGATACCATGTGTTTTTAAATGTTTTTATTAACCTGCAATTTTAATAAAGTTAGATACTTCCCTTAGAGTCATTCTGAGAATTTTTAATTAGAATCAAATTCAATAAATACTTTTTATTCAGCTAATGGGAAAAAAAATTTTTTTAAAAAAGTTTATATTTGGTCTTCAATCCCATATCCTGGAATAAAACTCCTAAAATTCTTAGAATTGCCAAAGTGATGTCTTTTTGTATGCTAATGAGTTGACTGACAGCTGGCAGTCACGGTGACCAGAAAGAAAAAAAAAACAAAAGTATAGGGACAATAGATCGAGAAGTTACACCATTTATCCAAGAGGAGTTCCAGGAGGGCCGAGTGGATAAAACAATAGAAATAATCAACATCCAGGCACAGAGGGAATTAATTAATGCCCAAAGAGAACAGAGCAAGGGAAATAAAGTAGGAACCATGGAAATGACACATGGCTAAGTGTAAACACAACAGACCTTTCTGGAGGAAATGACTAGAATAAACCAGAAGGTGAATGGAGAAACCCATGATAACAAGTCCTGCACAAGATTTAATGCCAGAAGTAAATGAAGCAACTCATACAAAGTCCTCGGCATATTAATGAAGAATTTTAAGCCTATGCAATTTGCCATTTGAGCATAAAGGCAACTGACATTCAGAAACTCAGAGGACACTGCAGCCACAAGTCTTTGGCAAAAGCAGTGTTTGATGAAATTAAGGCAACCAACACATAAATCCAGCAGGAAAGGTAAAAGGAGAGGTGGTGAATTCGTGACACAGGATTGACATTCAACTGCTCTACTCCACTGGGGGAATTGATGGTGACAAATCAGAAGGTAACAATGACAATAACCACAATACAGGAGAGGGTGACAAGTAAAAATGGGCTAATTTCTTCAGACCTTATAGCAGGAAGTCAATCAATAGTATTTTAAAATTAAAACATATAGTAAAAAACGTAACTCTAACTTTCAAAATTCTTTCATAATTTCTTTTCATTAGGGAAGGTTTTAGAAAATAATCTTTCATGTGGTGATAAAACATGTACTTAAAATTCTGCAACTGCTCTGATTTTTTTCAATTTAAAAGAAAATTTAAGTCAATATATATGTATATACTGAGAGAGCCTATTCTCATGTCCTACTATTTTCATCCACTTTATCTCACTTGATAGCAGCTTAGGATCTCGACAACCACAATTCAATTCAATGGATGAACATGGAATCCACCCTACTATCTTTTTTTTTCCAGTTATGAACAGTGCTGCATTGACCATTTTTTGAACATTTGTTCTCATTTAAAATAAATTCTTGGAGTGGGATATCCTGGCCCAGAGGTATGCAGAACTTCCAGAAAGACTGAACGCCCTTGCAGTTATACGAATGTAACCATGTCTCCATACTCTAACAGTGAATGTTGATCTTTCAAATAAGAGAAAGGTCCTATATCAGAGAACAAGCCAGGCAGAGAAGAAAGATTCATTCTTTGGTGAGTCACCTCTTGGCATCATTTGGGCTCAGACCCCTACACGAAACTACTATTGGCAGGCAGCATGTAGAACAGAGTTGCAGATTATGGAGGTGTCCATTTAAATCTGGGACTCACCACATTTATTCACGTATAAAACAGGATCAAACCATGCTTCTCACATAGCTATTTTGTGGATAATTGCAACGAAACATGTAATATACTTAGCCAACATATTTTTTTCCTTTTCTTCCCTTTTACACCAAGGGAAGGAGATATGTTTACTCTCTGATGCCTGAGGTGATATTTCTTGAAAGAAAAATAAAACTCAACCCACCTGAAATGTGGTCTCATCTTCCACATCTTGGGGGAGGGCTGAGGCTTGAGAATGAGGAGCTGTAGGAAGAGAAGGAAGCTGTAAGGAGATGGTGCTGTTTGCATTTCCGGACTATCTGCTTTACAGCCTGGTTTCTTCTCTACCAAGGCAAGTCCTTGTTCACCCATCCTCTTTTCTTTCCATAACCAGCTTGGATTCTCCCTCCCCCACACCTTTCGTTCTCACCTCTCTCTGCGTGCTTTGAGGCCAGAGCCTCCATGGTCTCTTCTATGTTTTCTGTGAGCAGCAGCAATTTTATTCTTTTATCTTCTTAAGCTGGAGAAGAGGAAACCCAGGCCATCTTCATTCTTGGGACTCCAATCCCTGACAAGTATCAGATGGATACCTGAGGTCAGAGGCACATGCCTCTACCTTCGGTGTCTAGAGGCTTCTTGGTTTTCATGCTCTGGAGACCTGGAGGCTCAAGAGGGAACTTTGTCTGAGTCCTTTCTTCTGGGCCCCAAAGCTCATGGGCTATGCTATGGTTCACATCCTCTCGTTATACCATTCATTCAGTAGATTTCCAGACATTTAAAAATTAGCTGGGTGTGGTGGCACGTGCCTGTAGTCCCAGCTACTCAGGAGGCTGAGGCAGGAGTACTGCTTGAGCCCAGGAGTTCAACATTGCAATGAGCTATGATGACACCACTGCACTCTTCCCTGGGTGACAGAGTCAGACCCTGTCTCAAAAAAAAAAAAAAAAAAGGAGGAAACAGTTATGCCACTGCACTCCAGCCTGGGTGAAAATGTGAGACTCTGTCTCAAAAACAAAAACAAACACTGCTTGAGCCCAGGAGTTTGAGGTTGCAGTGAGCTATGATGATGCCACTGCACTCCAGCCTGGGTGTGAGACTCTGTCTCAAAAAAAAAAAAATTTACTGAGTAGCTATGGGTATAGTCCTTGCTCTGGAGGGGCTCAGAATCCAGAGAGCAAGAATGTTGCAGATGGCCAAGGAGAGTCACAGAAGCATCTTTCAGGAGGGCCCAGCAGCTGACGTCACTGTGACATACAGGGCACTTCAGAAGGGTGGAGAGACCCCACACACATATGCACCCTGTAAAGAAAAACCTGGAGTGTAAAAGCTTTATTAATACAACCCTGTGGAGCCTGTGAAAAATAAAATATGTCCTCAAGGATCCTAAAAGTCAGGATATAGGTTAGCAACCATCTTTCAAATCAAAGAACCTATTTTGTGCCATGGCCCCCTTCGGTAATCTAATGATACTTAATGGACCTCCACTTAGATTAATGTTTTAAATACATAAAATACAATACACTGATTCTTTATAAAGGTAATTATAGTAAAATGTAACCATATATATACACACACACACACACACACACACATATATATATATATATATATTTTTTTTTTTTTGAGACAGAGTCTCACTCTGTTGCCTGGACTAGAGTGCCGTGATGTCAGCCTAGCTCACAGCAACCTCAAATTCCTGGGCTCATGCGATCCTCCTGCCTCAGCCTCCCAAGTAGCACGGGACTACGGGCATGTGCCACCATGCCCAGCTAATTTTTTTTCTGTTTTTAGTAAAGCTGCCACACTGAAATAATCATTCTGGGATCCAGCAACACTTTCTTTTGTTTTAATAGATGTAAAGGGTACAAGTTGAATTCTGTTACATGTATATATTCTATAGTGGTGAAGTCTGATCTTTTAGTGTACCCATCACCTGAACAGTGTACATTGTACTCCATAGAAATACTCTGTTTAAATTGCTGATTACCACCTGTCACATACCCTGGTAAGATCTCTAACTTATCAAAAGAATTGGCTGGGCGTGGTGGCTCACGCCTGTAATCCTAGCACTCTAGGAGGCTGAGGTGGGAGGATTGCTCAAGGTCAGGAGTTCGAAACCAGCCTGAGCAAGAGCGAGACCATATCCACTATAAATAGAAAGAAATTAATTGGCCAACTAATATATATAGAAAAAATTAGCCAGGCATGGTGGCACATGCCTGTAGTCCCAGCTACTCAGGAGGCTGAGGCAGAAGGATCACTCGAGCGCAGGTTGCTGTGAGCTAGGCTGACACCACAATACTCTAGCCTGGGCAACAGAGCCAGACGCTGCCTTAAAAAAAAAAAAAAAGAATTGAGTTGTCTTCTGTTATTTTCCTCTCCACCTGGTATGGGTCTAGCAACTGGACACACTTAAGCCATTCCAGTAATAGGATGTGATGCACAGAGAACTCTTGGAATCAACTCAGAGCTCATCAGGAGGTAGTGCAAAGACACCAAGCACGAACTCCCTGCCTCCTCACCTTGCCTGACCGGTTTTCTCTTGAGATTCAAGCCTCAAGAGCAAGTTCAGACAAACAGATCAACATATTTGGGCAGTCCACTCTAAGATATACTGCCTGGATTTTACTGTTTCAGGACCTCAAATCGCCATCTTTCTTCCAACCATCTACACCAGACCTTTGCACAGCCCACTCTGATTGAGCACCTTTCTGTCTCACTCCCTTTGTGCACTGCCCCGCACTGGGGACTGATCTCTGAGGCTGTGTAGAATACAGGGCAACACACTGTCCTCCTACACGAAGGCCAAAGGGGAAGAGCAGAGGGCAGAATGGAAACAAGGCCTCCGCATAGGGCCACTGAAACTCAAACCTTCCACATCCTCTCGGACTGTGCTTTGCAAACTTTAGCCTGCTTAAAAATCACTTTAAGCAATTACGAAAATAGATGGCTGGACCCCAGCTCCACAGATTGTGATTCAGCAGCTCTGCAGTGGAGCCCAATTATCTGTGTTTCTGACAAGTTTCCGCATAATGCGAGCACAGTTGGTCCAGGGAACACATTTTGAGTAGCACTTGCTAAGTCACCTTAGCTTCCTCTGATTGGCTGATTTTCAGGGTTTCCAGAGGCTTCTAGTTTGTCCAAAATTTCCTTGTGGTTCTTCCTCATGTCCCTGACCCCTCTACAAGTCAGGACTGCCTCAAGATTCAGTCCATGAATTAATTCTTTTTTATTTTTTTTTTGAGACAGTCTCACTCTGTTGCCCAGGCTACAGTGCCCTGGCATCAGCCTAGCTCACAGCAACCTCAAACTCCTGGGCTCAAGCAATCCTTCTGCCTTAGCCTCCCAAGTAGCTGGGACTACAGGCATGTGCCACCATGCCCAGCCAATTTTTTCTATATATTTTTTAGTTGGCCACTTAATTTCTTTCCATTTATAGTAGACACAGGGTCTCACTCTTTCTCAGGCTAGTTTCAAACTCCTGACCTTGAGCGATCCCCGGCCTCCCAGAGTGCTAGGATTACAGGCCTGAGCCACCACACCCAGCCTATGAATTTCTTCTTTATCTAAACTCATTCCCTCCCCTGGTGAACACATCTGCCTCATGGCTTCAATAGCAGCTATACACTAATAATTCAACGCCAACTTAACATGCGCAAAACCTAACTGCAGATTGGCCCTCCAGAGATACTTCTTTCCTTTCAAATGAGCAGGCCAAATATTCTGGAGTGATCCTTGATTTATCTCTTTCTCATACTCCACATCCAATTCATCAGCAAATAACCTTCATATTAGAAGCAGAATCGGACTAATTCTTACTGCCACTGTCCACCATCATCTTTTGCCAGAATTAATGTAATAGTCTCCTAACTGGTCAATCTGTTCCTACTCCTGGCCCCCTACGGTCTGTTTCTTACAACGCAGCCAGAATGATCTTTTTTTGTTTTGAGACAGTCTCACTCTGTTACCCTGGCTAAAGTGGCATGGCGTCAGCCTCGCTCACAGCAAGCTCAAACTCCTGGGCTCAAGCGATCCTTCTGCTTCAGCCTCCAGTAGATGGGACTACGGGCATGTACTACCATGTCTGGCTAATTTTTTCTATATATTTTTAGTTGTCCAATTAATTTCTTTCTATTTTTAGTAGAGACGGGACCTCGCTTTTGCTCAGGCTGGTTTTGAACTCCTGACCTTGAGCAATCCTGCCGCCTCGGCCTCCCAGAGTGCTAGAATTACAGGTGCGAGCCACGGCACTGGCCCTTTTTAAAATATAAAATGTGTCACTCCTCTGGCCAAAACCTTCACTTCACTCAAAACCATTCACCAAAGTCCTTTCAACTGAAAGACTTTACACTATCTGGCCTCCCAATACCTAATTTCCAGTTTATCCTTCTTTCTCATTGTTCGGCCCCTCTGGCCACCTTATTGTTCTCCAGCTAGACCAGTCCTGCACCCTCCTCAGTGCCTTCATTGTTGTTCCCTTGGCCTGGAACTCATCATTTTCACAGTGAAATTCATCCCTGATTATTCTATGGGAATTGCAAGCCTGAACTCCCCAAACCCCTTCTCTACTTCATTTTTCTCCCTGAAACTTACCATCTGACCCCCCATCTACTTCTCTTATTTACTGTCTGCACATACTAGAGCGTGAGCTCCGTGAGGGCAGCTGGGACTGTCCTGAATTCAGCCTGCTGATACCTGCCATCCTGGGTTCTTTTGATACTGGCTTTAGAGTAGAAGGGATTTTGTTCTCCAGTTCACTCATTTAGTAAACGAGGTGTGAAAAACTATACTGGATTTCTGGGGATAGAGTGGTGAGCAGGGCGGACATTTGCTTGTGCTGATGCAGCTAACAGGCTAGTTGGGAAGACAGTCTACATACATGGAAATTGTACTGTGTCACGTGCTCAGGATACAGAGAAAGATACATTTCTTTTTCTTTTTTTTTTTTTTTTTTTGAGACAGAGTCTCCTTTTGTTGCCCAGGCTAGAGTGAGTGCCACGGCATCAGCCTAGCTCACAGCAACCTCAGACTCCTGGGCTCAAGCGATCCTCCTGCCTCAGCCTCCCGAGTAGCTGGGACTACAGGCATGCGCCACCATGCCCGGCTAATTTTTTCTATATATATTAGTTGGCCAATTAATGTCTTTCTATTTATAGTAGAGATGGGGTCTCGCTCTTGCTCAGGCTGGTTTCGAACTCCTGACCTCGAGCAATCCGCCTGCCTCGGCCTCCCAGAGTGCTAGGATTACAGGCGTGAGCCACTGCGCCCAGCCAGAAAGATACATTTCTTGACTGTGTGGAGCTCCCACTGGTGGGGAGAAAGAGAAATAATTCGGGACAAGGCAATGGGATAAAGAGATGATGGAAATAAGAGATCTTGTAAAGGTAGAAATAACAAGACTATAAGAACAATTACGTGTGGGGTTGAAAATGAAGAGAGATCAAATGAGTGTGGGGTTGAAGTTTGAGGAAAACAGGTAAATTATATTAATATAGAAAAAGGAGGATGAGGGTTTTGCAAGTTGCACTTTTTGTCTCATAAATGCAGTTGTCAAAAGACTTAAGTTCAAACACTGGTTCAGCCAAATTGTAATTGTAGCAACACTAGAAGAATGACTTCAACTTCTGAATGAATCTGTTCTTCTGTTAAATAAAGATAATAATCCTTACTTACACAGTTGAAAGAATTAAGTCTTTCTCTCTTTCACACACATACACTCTGTAAATAAAGCTCACATCCCAATACTTGGCACACAGAAAATCCTCAATATATTACCATTGCTGTTGTTCATCCATCCCAGCACTAACCTAGGAATACATGAATTTACTCATTTAATAAATGGAAAAGGAATTTGTTCTTATGGTGCAAGTTGCTCAGCAAATTAAATAGAAATATATTGATTCATTCAAATATTTACTGATGGGCTACTACATGCCAGGCACTGTCCTAGGCATATGGTGGTGAAAGTCCTAGCATGAAACCTGTGATATAAAAAGCACTCAGTTAATGCCCAGCATCATAGTTATTGTAATAATTCCCACCCTGTAATTCTTCCCTAGCACAGTGTGAAAGGGTATCAGCCTGAGCGATTTACTGACTACACAATCCACTACTAGGAGCCAGGGAGAGAAAACACTAAAGATACTGTCAAATTCCTCAATCCTTAGAAGAAACCTGTTTATCAGAGAAGGCAGCTGTGGCAAAGGGGCCTAAATGGGCATTTGTGAAAACCACAGGATGAAGAATGAGGTCAGGAAAGCTGGCCTCCCTTTGGGAAGAGACAAGGCATTGCCACAAAACAACAGGAAGAAGCAGCAGCAAAGTTCTACTCACCTGAAGCTCTGCTGGCAAGAGATCAGGCTTCCTCTTCTATAAAGACCTCTTTGGGAAAGGAACAGTCCCACATAGGCAAAGCTGTGAAAGAAAAATCAGCCAAAGGATAGCATAATTTAATCACAATTCCCAACACACAGCAAGGGGAAATCTCTGACTGCCAACCTTCCTATACCCCTCCTGTAATCTGCCCCTAATACTTGCTTCAAAAGTCCTGTCTACAATTCTACTCTCACTGTAGCTTGCAGGAAACAATGAGCATCAAGACACAATCTCAAGATTTAAATTCAGAGCGGGCTGCGTAACACTGAAGGGCGGAATTCAACCTGTGTGTGTCTGGGATGCTGCTAAAAGCAGAGACAGCAACCATACAGCGAGCAACTCTCATGACTTGTATCGGCCTTAATAGTTTTCAAAGGAATACATTCACAACACGAGGAATCAACTTCTGCACCCCTTTACAGAAATGACTTCACAGACAGAAAACTCTGAAATTACTACACAAGTGGGCGGGCGGCTACCCTGAAAGAATTCTACAGATCGTGGATGTGCAACTGCCCAGACTGGAGTCGCCCAAATTGAGAGATGCTCATTTCAAAGCCAGATCTGCCAACCTGAGCCCCGCCCCCCCATCCTGACCCAGGACGCTGGGTGCATCTTGCTCCTCGAACCCCTCCTCCAGGCCGGGCTCGTCCAAATCCCCTGGCTCCGACCCTCAGCCACACGCCGCCCCTTCCCCCCCAGGCTTCAGAAAGCCGACCCTTATTGCTGTGGCCCGACCGATGACCCCTCCTCCCCCAAGGAGACCCACGTCTCTAGTATCCCTCACCGTGGTTTCAACTGCAGAGGTGCGCTGGACCGGAAACGGAAGTGTGCGAGTCGGCGGGTCCCAGACTACATTTCCCGGAACCCTCCGCGCCGCGGTCTTAGGTTCAGAGATGCTGTAAGCCAATGTCGTCTGGAGTCCTGCCCACTGCCAGGCTGCGGGCGGTGGGTACCCGCCAGGTTCCTGCACTCGGCTATGGGGCATCGCTGCACCTTTCTTTAATAGTCTTTACTCGGAAGGCCAGAGGAACACTGTGACTCATGGGCCCTGTTCCTGTGTCTCAGGCTCAGGGATACATTTGGTTACTGACACCAAAAAAAAAGAGTCGAGTATACTCAGCACTGATATTTGCGTTGTAGCAAATCTGACAGTATTCTCAGATATACACATTCATAATGCCATCACTGCAGGATATGAATATAAAGTATTACTGATGGTTTAGTGTAAATTACATTTAAGTGTTTATTTCAAAAGGAGTACATATTTGATATAAAAAAATATTAAATTCCAAAAACGAAATTAAAGTCTCCTATAATCCTAGCACCCACAAACAAGCATAATATCTTGGCTCATTTATTTCCTGATTTACGTAAGTACATAAGCTTTTTTGAAAAAATCCTCTCCCCCTGAAAGGCATCATGTTTTGTGACCTCTTTTTCCCTCAGACTACATTGTATCATGGATAGCTTTCCACCTAACTAATGAAATCATTTTAGATAGTTGCCTAGGATTCTTTAATTTTTACTACCTTGTCCTCCAGTGAAGTTATACTCCCAATCTCTTATGAAACTAAAAATCATCATTTTAATTTTTCCCAATTTGGTAGACTAACATGCTGCCTTATTATTGATTGAATTTCTTTGCTCATGAAAATGTTGGATAGATGGTGATATATCAGTGGTGAGTGAATGTTTATATTCTTTGTCCACTTTCAGCTTTTATTTATCTTTAAATTCTTTCTGTATACTAATGGTATTGACTCTGTTGCATATGATGAATTTTTTCTAAGTTGGAACTTTTTTTTTTTTTTTTTTTTGCAAGAGTTTTACTAGTCCTGGCTAGAGTGCTGTAGTGTCATCCTAGCTCACAGCAACCTCAAACTCCTAGGCTAAAGCAATCCTTCTGCCTCCTGAGTAGTTGGGACCTACAGGCATGCACCACCATGCCTAGCTAATTTTTTCTTTATATTTTAGTTGTCCAGCTAATTTCTTTCTGTTTTTTAGTAGAGATGAGGTTTTGCTCTTGCTCAGGCTAGTCTCAAACACTTGAGCTCAAACAATCCACCTGCCTCGGCCTCCCAGAGTGCTAGGATTATAGGTGTGAGCCACCGTGCCTGGCCTAAGTTGGAACTTTTATGAAGTAAATAAGTTGAAAAAAATTCTTTATCTGACCAAATTTATCAATCTTTTCATTTTGGATTCTATATTTATTCTAATAATTTTGAAGACTCTTCCTCCCCTGATTCCCAATAAGGGGGCATCTATATTCACATCTAGTGCTTTTACTGTTCTTTCTAATCTTTGTGTGATTTATTTCAGATGGTATGAAAGAGAGATCTAGTTTTCTTTTTCACCAAAGCATTGTCAAGTTTTCTCAATGGTATTTACCATTCTTTCCCTACTGATATAAATGCCATCATAATCACTTACATTATTCTATATATTATTAATTAGGTATTTTATGGGATTATCTTTGCATGACAGAGATAACTTCTTCTGTGTCACCAAAAAACCGTTCACTTAGAGCAGGAACACATTTGTCTCTCTATCCTTATTGTATTTCAAAAATTTTATCCTGGAAATCCTAGGACTCATTTCCAAATAAACTTTTGGATTATTTTGACAAATTCTCAAAAATTATCAAAGCCACCCATTGCTTAGAATAATAACCCAGTCACAGAATCCAAATCCAAAACCTAGATGCATTTGGTCACAAACCCAACCTTTCTTGAGCATGAACAGTTTTAGCTCCCAGCTCATGTCCTGCCATTTTTACAACTCTGTCTCTGATGCTATTGTTTTTCTCTTTGAAATGACCAACCTCTCCTTCACTTTTGAAATATTACCCAATATTTAAGGGACCCAATTTGAATACCACTTCCTCTATGGAATCTTTATGATTTCTGCATCATAATTAAATGAACACATAACATCAGTCTCTGATTCAAGATAGAGTTTTATGTGACTATGGCAAATGTGATATATGATTCTTAGAATTTTATCATTTCCCTGGGAAATCAGTAAATTGGTTTTTCTTTATGAGCAAAACTAAGGACCAGTCTTTATAAGATGTGGGCAGATGTATCTGTTCCAAGCCCAAGGTGAAGTCTCAGCTCCCATCCTTTCTCATGTGAACTGCAAGACGCTATGGGCAATCCCTGTGCCAACTGAATGTGCAAATGCTGTAAATTTTCACTCCTTGTCAGTTTGCCATTGTTAAAAACCACACAGTATTATAAACTGTGCGGGTAATAAAGGAACCCATATCCATATACAGACAGTCCCTGACTCACATTGGTTAGACAGACTTACCATGAGTTTATCTGGAGTAGCTGTGTAAAGCAAAAAGGTGTAACTTTTAGATGGTTACAACTGATGTAGAACCATGGAAGAGAGATACCAGTTAATAACAACAATAAAATTTTGCTGAAAACTATTAAGAATGTACTGAGGGAAGGAGGGAGGAAGGGTGGAAGAGAGGGAGAGATGGGGAAGGAAGAAAACATTGGAGAAAACATTAAGTGGTACTAAAAACAAAAACTTAATTGGGTTTTCAAATTTAAACATTTGAAATAGAAGCTGAAAAGGAGAATTCTGACATATCTCAACTATAGTGGAGACTGGAAGGTTAAATAGAGGAAATATCTTCAGAGTAAAAATACAAAGATACGCTCATTATAACTAGAAATTATCAGTCCGGAAAAAGAGTTCCTGGAGACCTAAATCTTAAATGTGAAATATAGTACACTATATCAATAAAAGACAAAAAGCATATGATGATCTCAAAATACACACAAAAAAGTATTTGACAAAATCCAATACCCTTCATGATATAAACACCTTAAAAACTAGGAATAGAATGGAACTTTGTGAACTGATAAAGGCCTTCTACAAAACTCACAGCTAACAAAATGCTTAATAGTAAAATACTGAATATTTTCCCCCTGACATCAAGAACAGGACAAAGATGTCCACTCATGCCACTTCTATTCAAGATAGTACCAGAGTTTGTAGCCATAAAATAGGGCAATAATATGCAAGAAAAGCCATCCAGCTTGGAAAGGAAGAAGTAAAATGATTTATATTTTCAGAAGACATTACCCAGCAAAGAGAAACTCTTAAAAAACCCACTAAGACAAGGCATCCGGTGTTCATGGAAGGAAAGACTTAAAATTGCTAAGACAGCAATAATGCCCAAAGGGATCTATCTATACATTTGACATAATTCTTGTTGAAATCCTAGTTGGCAATTTTGCAGAAAGTAACAAACTGACCCCAAAATTCATATGAAATTTAGGACCCAGAATACCTAAAATGAAAGAGAAAAACAAAGTTGAAGGATTATTCCCTATTTTAAAAGATCCTGCAAGATGCAATAATCATGACCATGTGGTACTGGGATAAAGAAAGATACATACATGAAGGGAGTAAACAGTCCAGAAATAAGCTCCTGAATTTCTAATTAATTGATTTTCAAAGGGTGTGCTGATACAATTCAATGAGGGAAGGGAATAGTCTTTTAACAAATGGTGCTAAAGAATAAGGCTGGATGCTTTCTTCAGACCATACATGAAAAATTGACTCCAAATGGACAATAAATCTAAATGTAAGGGCTAAAAAAATAAAAATCGCAAAAGAAAATATAGAATGACTTAATGTTACAGAAAGGTTCTTAGATGCTTCACCAAAAGCAAAAAAGACAAAAGAAAAAATAGATTACAATTCTGCCTCATCAAACTGAAAACCTTTTGTGTTTCAAGAGAGAAAGGCCAACCACAAAATAAGAGAAAATATTTGGAAATCATATGTGATAGGGGACTTATTTTTAGAATACTTTAAAAATTCTTATAACTGAATAAAAAGAAAAATAGCCCAATTTCTTTAATAGGCAAAGGATTTGAAAACACATTTTTCCAAAGGTTTACAAATGGACAATAAGCACATTACATGATGCTCAGCATCATTAGCCATTAAGGAAATGAAACTAAAAACAAGGATACCAGTTCACACCCACTAGGATGGCCATAACCAAAAAACTGATAGCGAACGCTGATGAGGATATAAAGAAGAAGGAACCTTAATATACTGCTGGTGGGAATGTCAAATGTTACAGCCACTTTGGAAAACACTCTGTTCCTCAAAATGTTAAATGTTGAGGTTCCATGTGAACCAGCAATTCTACTCCTACGCATGTACCAGGAGAAAACATTTCCATATAAAATCTTGAACATAAGTGTTCATAGCAGCATTATTCATAAAAGCCAAAGAGGAAAAACATCTCAATGCCCATCAATGGATGAATGCATATATCAAAGGGGTATATTGATGCAATGGAATATCATACGGCCATAAAAGGAATGAAGCTGTTATACATGGTACAATGTTGATGAACCTTGAAAACATTACATCAAATATAAAGCCAATCATAAAAGTACACACAAGGTATAATCCCATTTATACAAAATGTCCAGAACAGGCAAATCTATAGAGTTGTTACCTATGGCTGAGGGTGGGATTAGGGGAGGGGATTTAAAACAGAATGAGGAAGCACTAATGTTCACAGGGCTTCTTTTTGGGGTAATAAAAACGTTATAAAATTGTGTTGATGGTTGTCACACTAAAATCGACTGAATTATTCACTCTAGATAGGTGAATTGTAGGGAGGGCATCAACATGGAACATGGGCAGACAAGAAAAGGGAGAAAGAAGGGGTAAAAATTTGAAATAGGGGGAGAAACAAAAATAGAAATAGTATGGACTGGGCACAGTAGCTAATGCCTGTAATCTTATCTCTTTGGGAGGCTGAGGCAGGAGGACTCTTTCAGACCAGGGGTTCAAGAGCAGCCCGGAGCCAGAAGCAAGACCTCATCTCTACACAAAAATTGAAAAATTAGCTGGGCATGGTGGTACACACCTGTAGTCCCAGCAACTCAGGAGGCTGAGGCAGGAAGATCACTTGTGCCCGGGAGTTTGAGGTTGCAAGGAGCTGTGATGAGGCCACTGCATTCTAGTTAGGTAGGTAGGGCAACAGAGTGAGACACTGTCTCCAAAAAAAAGAAAAAAATACAGTGAAGGAAAAATGATCATATTTATAAAGAAGGAATCTCAAACTGTCAGTGCCAGGCAGAGGGTCATGCTGCACTGTCACCAGTAGTGTCGCCCTCAGGGAGTGAGGCAGACAGACTGGGGGTTTTCACTGTCAGCAATGTTGCCTGCAGGCAGGAGGGTCACACTGCCTACCTGATGGCCCAGGTGGTAATGGCCATTACAGGGAACTCTTTGGCCAGCAAGTATGTGGCAGTAGCAAGTAGGACAGGTTTGTGTGTGAGGATGGAATGCAGGAGAGTCTCTCCTGCGGATGGGTGAGTGAGCCTGACCACGAAAGTGGAGAAATGGACAGGGAAGAGCATCATGTTGGTTAATACCATGTTTCCCTGAAAATAAGACCTACCCATATAATAAGCCCTAGCAGGATTTCTAAGCATGTGTGCAATATAAGGCCAACCCCGAAAATAAGACCTGGTGATGGGCGTAAAGTCGCGGGGCAGTAAAGAAGAGCAGCCCTTCTCATGTGCCCCATTGTGACAGCTATCCCAGAGGTGAATGGAAAGGTGCGGGCAGCCCCACCAACAAGGTCAGCTCCCCCTGTCAGGTCCCGGCCATCCTGTATGTGCTGCAAACTGAGGCTTTGAGGGGAAAATAACACATCCCCTGAAAATAAGCCTTAGGGTGTCTTCTTGAGGAAAAATAAATATAAGACCCTGTCTTATTTTCGGGGAAACATGGTAGTTCTGCCACAGCTTGCAACAGAAGGACAATAATGGAGAGTGGCTGTGAGGCCCTGGGAGTCTATGAATGTCCAAGGAGATGGCATTGGAGCCACAGGGGGATGTGTAGCATCCACTGCTGTGTAGCCAAGAGCCCTTGGGGAATCATGCGGAGATGTGAGTTACTATGTTTCCTGCCTGTCAGGTACTGACTCCCACAGAATGTGGGAATAGCTGGGAGACATAGGAGAGTGTCTGTAGGCTGGGGGTGAAGAGACTGAAGACATGGGAGAGGAGCCCAGTGAGGGCTGTGAGCTTCTAGGTGTTTCCTGGGTGTGCTGAGCTGATGGTTACAGAAATCTGGCGATACTTGGAGAGTAACTAGGAGAAACAGGAGATAACCTCATGGCTGGAGATGAAGAGATGGCCAAGATGGCAGAAGAGCTCACTGAAATCTGAGAGCTTCTAGGTGTTTCCTGGGTTTAAAAGGCTGAATGTTCTAGAAATCTGGGGATGGTTGGAGAGTAGGTGGGAGACACAGGAGACTCTCTAAAGGCTGTGGGTGAAGAGACAGAAGACATAGGGGAGGAACTGAGTAAAGTCTGTGAGCTTCTAGCCATTTCTAGGGTTTGGGAGGCTGCATCTTGCAGAAATCTGGGAATGGCTGAAGAGTAGCTAGGAGACTCCCTGAAGCCTGGGGGTGAAGAGACTGCAAACACAGGGGATGAGCCCAGTGAGAGCTGTGAGTTTGTAGGTGTCTCCTGCCTGTGGGGGACTGAATGTTCCATAAATGTAGGGTTGGTTGAAGAGTTGCTAAGAGACACAGGAAACTCCCTGAAGGCTGGGGGAGAAGAGATGGGAGACATGGGGAAAGAGCCCAGTGAGGGCTGTGAGTTTGCATATGTTTCCTGGGTGTAGAAGTCTGCATCTTGCAAAAATCTGGGGATGGCTGGGGAGTATGTGGGAGACACAGGAGACTCCCTGAAGGCTGGGGGAGAAGAGATGGGAGACATGGGGAGAGAGCCAGCTGAGGTCTGCGAGTTTGCATATGCTTCCTGGGTGTAGAAGTCTGTATCTTGCAAAAATCTGGGGATGGCTGGGGAGTATGTGGGAGACACAGGAGACTCCCTGAAGGCTGGGGAAGAAGAGATGGGCGACATGGGGAGAGAGCCAGCTGAGGTCTGTGAGTTTGCATATGTTTCCTGGGTGTAGAAGTCTGTATCTTGCAAAAATCTGGGGATGGCTGGGGAGTACATGGGAGACACAGGAGACTCCGTGAAGGCTGGAGGAGGAGAGATAGGAGACCTGGGGAAAGAGCCCATAGAGGTCTGTGAGTTTGCATGTGTTTCCTGGGTGTAGAAGGCTGTATCTTGCAGAAATCTAGGGTGGGCTGGGCAGTATGTAGGAGACACAGGAGACTCACTGAAGGCTACAGGAGAAGACACGGGAGACATGGGGAAAGAACCCAGTGAGGCCTGTGAGTTTGTAGGTGTTTCCTTGGTGTAGAAGGCTGTATCTTGCAGAGATCTGGCAATGGCTGGGGAGTACATAGGAGACACAGGAGACTCTCTGAAGGCTGGGGGAGAGGAGATGGGAGACATTGGGAAATAGCCCAGTGAGGTCTGTGAGTTTGCATATGTTTCCTGGGTGTAGAAGGCTGTATCTTGCAGAAATCTCGGCATGGCTTGGGAGTATGTGGGAGACACAGGAGACTCCCTGAAGGCTGGGGGAGAAGAGACGGGAGACATGGGGAAAGAGCGAGGTGAGGTCTGTGAGTTTGTAGGTGTGTCCTGGGTGTAGAAGGCTGTATCTTGCAGAGATCTGGGGATGGCTGGGGGAGAAGAGATGGGAGACATGGGGAAAGAGCCCAGTGAGGTCTGTGAGTTTGCATGTGTTTCCTGGGTGTAGAAGGCTGTATCTTGCAGAAATCTTGGCATGGCTTGGGAGTATGTAGGAGACACAGGAGACTCCCTGAAGGCTGGGGGAGAAGAGATGGGAGACATGGGGAAAGAGCCAAGTGAGGTCTGTGAGTTTACATGTGTTTCCTGGGTGTAGAAGGCTGTATCTTGCAGAAATCTGGGAATGGTTGAAGAGTAGCTAGGAGACTCTGTGAAGGCTGGGGGAGAAGAGATGGAAGATACGGGGTAGAATCCCAGTGAGGTCTCTGAGTTTGTAGGTGTTTCCTGGGTGTAAGGTGGTGAATGCTCCAGAAATCTAGGGGTAGTTGGAGAGTAGCTTGGAGACAGAGGAGAATCCCTGAGGGCTGGGGGTGAGAACATGGGGGACATGGGAGAGGAGCCCAGGAGGGTCTCTGAGTTTCCAGGGGTTTCCTGAGGGTGGGGGGCTGAAGGTTCCACAAATCTGGGGGTGGTTGGAGAGTAGCTGGGAGACACTGGAGGGTCACTGAGGGCCGAGGGTGAACTGCTTGGCGATGGCAGTATGAACATGTGGTAAATTGTTGAGGAGCATGGTGACTCTGAAGAAAACCCAGGGGAGGACATGGCAGAGCACAGTGGCTTGGGTGACTGTCCGTCGTGGTCTGTAACGGGAAACGTGAAGCTGTGTGAGGAGCGAGGCGAATGTGGTGGAGCCCTGGAGGAGGAGGGAGAGGAGCCCCGGCTGCCTGGTGAGGTGCTGCCCTTTGGGTCTGAGTTGCAGGGAGAGGAGAGAGGGAAGCTGGGTGAGGGTGGCCGGTGGTCTGGGGAGGCGGGGCTTGGGGCCCGCTCATTGGGGGAGCCAGAAGTGACCCCACTGTCCTTAGCTGCGGACATGGTTGGGAAACCTGCAGCTTCCGGGGCCTCGGGAAATGGAGGGTTGTGTGAGGTGTCGGTGTTTGTGTCTTTTTGCGTGTCTGTGTGTTAGCTCCTTTAAAAAGACGGAAATACACAAATCAGACAGGAACTCTGTTACCCGAGTGTCGTGTCCTTCTGACTTCTGAATCCGCTTCCAGATCGCAGGACGCCGCAAGCACCAGGTGCACGCTAGGTTCACAAAATGTCGCGAACGCCTCTCTCCTCTGGGAGGATCTGAACGCAGACCGGATGGGGCGGGGCTTAAGTACTGTTGGGCGGGGCCTCGGAGGGGAAGGGGCAGGGCTTCCCACCTCCTTCCGGTGAGTCCAGCCACCCAATAGGAATCGCTCTCCTCAGTTGATTTCTGTTAGAAATGTGGGACCAAGAACTTAAAACTTTAGTGGACCAAATATGTTATGAATTAATTCTGCTTAAACACTTGACACCATCTGCAGGTGTGGGTCTCACATTGTCGTCCTGTCATTAGCAGCAGCATTGCGAACCCTCGAACTCCAAGGACTCCCACAGCTGTGTTATCTTATTCCCTGTGATTCTAACACGTGGCAAGGGTTTGTTCGTGTGTTTGATTTGAGACAGGGTCTGGCTCTGTTGTCTGGCCTAGAGTGCAGTGTTGTCCTCACAGCTCACTGCAGCCTCAAATTCTTATGCTCAGAAGATTCTCCAGCCTCAGCCACCACCACTGCCTGGCCAATTTATTTTTAATATTTTGTTTTGATTTTATTTGTAGAGACTAGGTCTCGGTGCTGCCTTGGGCTGGTCCCAAACTGCTGACCTCCTGTGATCCTCCAGTCTTGGCCTCTCAAAGTGTTAGGGTTACAAACGTGAGCCACCACAACCAGCTGCTGGCAAGGTTTAAGAACCACCTGTGTTAGCAGAAAAAGCCTTTTGTTTTTTTAAATATAGAGTTATATAGTGTATAAATATTCTGTTCTGGAGTTGTCTGGAGACATCTGATACAGCTGGTTGATTGATTGGATTATAGTAATTAGATTGGATCTATTAAGGCATGGCTCCAGATTATTGTATCATCTGATAATGGTTGAAATTTTGCTAATTAGTTGTAAAATTATGTATGTGTAAATTAATTAGCCTGAGAATTGCAGTGCTCAAGTGTGACAAATATATGATTTTATATAAGTTTTGACATCCAAATATAAATCTTATTTTCTACTCTGATTTGCGTCGTGGACTCATTCAGGGTCATACTCTTCCTGTTCTCAGGGTTGATGTTTCCTTCCAGGATATTTCAGACATTGAGGGTCTGAAATACCCTCAATTTCAGGTATCTTTCAGTGAAAGATATCCCTTTCCGAAGGGAGAAGGATATCTTTCACTCTCATTTTATTTTGCTACGTTAATACATTAAGTGCCACACACACACCAAAAAATCAATTTTTCCTTGGGGTCAGGCCGTTTTATTATGAAAAAAGAATAAAAGCTTCAAAAACAAAACAATCTTTTCTAGTTTAATGAAAAATTCATTATTTTTTATTGTTTTCTGTGTGTGAGTTATATGCAAGTTGAAAAATAGTTGTTGTGGCTCCTATGATGAAGAGACATGTTTGTTACATACGCTTCACAAAGCCCCAGGCTCAAAACTAATGTGAGTTAAATGCTCTTGACTTAACAGTTAATGTGTTAAAGAAATAGCAGCTTTTTCAATGTATATATTATTTGTTCTTCTTTTATTAAAATTCTTTCTACTTTTCCAAGCTTCATGATGACTTTATTCAATTCCACTTCTCTTTTTCTAAGCAAACATATACACCTCAAATAAATTTTTCTAACATTACATAATCTGCTGCTGTCATTTTATTTTAGGTTTGATGAATATTCTCATTTCCTTAATTGAACACAGTAGATATTTTAAAATCTTATTCTGTCAAGTACAGCTTATGAATTTTTAACATTTTATTAAGGCAATATTTTTCCTATTCTGGAAATATTCTTTGCTGCTTAGTATACAATTAATTTTACACTACACAAATAGGCATTTATGAAAGATGTCCATGGCTTTTTGATAGACTAAAAACATAGTCCAACCATGTAATCTAGTATTTAAATACATCATTTCTTGTTTTGCATTATCTGTATCATTAGTAAGATGTCAGTTAAAATTTCCATTTAAGCATACGTTCCTCTCTAATTTCCTTTGTGCTTCTTGGAGAATGGGCAAAACAAGCCGGAAAGACTTGGAACTTTGTTTAACCCTCTGGGGTAAAACAGTCTCTTGTACACATTATTTCAATCATGAGTGTTCCTTTATTCTGCTTCAGTGTGTGTGTCAATGGGTCCCAGGCATGCCCCAGCATTCAGTATTTCACATTTAACAGAGGTCCTTCTGTGGCTGCAGAAGTGGGGTGGCGGTAGGAAGATTGCTTTGAGCTATTCCTGCCTGTGCATCTGGGGAGACTCACTAGCCATGGGAGACTGCACACCTTTGCAGTGGATCATATTCTGTCTCTTCCCTCTTAGGTAAAGTGTTGTTCCATCTAATGCTCTATCGCAGGGGTCCTCAAACTTTTTTTGAGACAGAGTCTCACTTTGTTGCCCAGGCTAGAGTGAGTGCCATGGCGTCAGCCTAGCTCACAGCAACCTCAAACTCCTGGGCTCAAGCGATCCTGCTGCCTCAGCCTCCCAAGTAGCTGGGACTACAGGCATGCGCCACCATGCCCAGCTAATTTTTTCTATATATATTAGTTGGCCAATTAATTTCTTTCTATTTATAGTAGAGACAGGGTCTCGCTCTTGCTCAGGCTGGTTTTGAACTCCTGACCTCGAGCAATCCGCCTGCCTCGGCCTCCCAGACTGCTAGGATTACAGGCATGAGCCACCGGGCCTGGCCTTGATACCACTATTTTCTAGTACACAGTTGATATGCAAATGTTCCCGATAATTTCACTTTTCCCTTTTTTGTTTTTTGAATTCAGGAGCCAATGCTTTTCATTTCTTTTCCTTTTTAACCCCTTTTCATCTGATAGAAATAGATTAATCTGCCATGAAAAAGTGAAAATACCAAGTCTTGGTGTGTGATGGGAAACGAACTCCTCAACACCACTGGGCCTGTGTTTGAACAACCTCTTCAGAGGATGGTTTTGACAATATTAATCAAATTATAAAATCTACGTCCCCAAGTAATTCAGTGATCTTTGTCTAGGGATTTATTCTGTAGAAATATTCTCATAAGCACTCAAAGACAGATGTTCATGGATATTTATTGTAACATTCTTTGTGTGACTACAGGTAGTTCCCAGGCTGACCTAGGCAATGCGGAGGACAGGAGAGAAACTCGGCCCACCCCCAACTTTGAATTTCCTCTGTGCCTCTCATTTCTTTGTTTGTTTTTTTGGGTTTTTTTCCTTTTTATTTTGTTTATTATTTTATTTTTTAATTTTTTTTTTCATTTCTTTTTCTCTCATTTCTTTTGTATTAAAAAGTGTCCCTTCAAGAGACAAAAACTCCACCAGCTATTTGGACAGAGAGAATTTAATATAAAGAATTGTTAACTAGGCCGTGCGCAGCCCCTCACGCCTATAATCCTAGCACTCTGGGAGGCCGAGGCGGGCGGACTGCTCGAGGTCAGGAGTTCGAAACCAGCCTGAGCAAGAGCAAGACCCCGTCTCTACTATAAATGGAAACAAATTAATTGGCCAACTAATATATATAGAAAAAAATTAGCTGGGCGTGGTGGCACATGCCTGTAGTCCCAGCTACTCGGGAGGCTGAGGCAGCAGGATCGTTTGAGCCCAGGAGATTGAGGTTGCTGTGAGCTAGGCTGACGCCATGGCACTCACTCTAGCCTGGGCAACAACGTGAGACTCTGTCTCAAAAAAAAAAAAAAAAGAATTGCTAACTAGGTATTCAGTTTTTAACAAGCTAACATAAAGAGGAAAGAGAGAACTCTATGTTAGCGTGGAAATAGCAACTGTAGGAAGTTGAGGGAATGAAGAGACCAAATTATTAGGACTTCGAAATTTTGAAGAAGGGCCCTCTGGAACTAAACCTGAGACCCAGTATGATGGGGTGCTAGCTGACTGGCGTTGCTTAGAAGGAGCCCCTGTGGGCTGGGGACCCAGACTTCTGATGAGGGGACACTGGCTGGCTGGTACTGGTGTTTGTGACGGGGAGCACAATGAAACCGGTTCTGCAAGTGTTAGAAAAGCAAAGTGTAGTCAGCTATTGCTATGGAAACGAGCTGTTTCTGCCAGAGTAAAATAGCATTACTTGGGTGATATAAAAACAGGAAAGAAATAAAGTCCCTTCTTCCTCCCCTAGCCTTGCAGAAGCTCTCTGGTGCCCCTTAGTGTCACAGCCTTACAAAGTGTGTTTTAAAAGTGACCATTTGGAGCAGAAAAACACTAACTTCATGACTAGCACAGCTTCCAACTTTGCTTTCCTTCCAACTGTCAAATTTTAGACTGAATATTTGTGTCTCCCAGAATTCATATGTTGAAGCCCCAACTCCCAACGTGACTATATTCAGAGATAGGGCCTTTATGGAGGTCATTTAGGTTAAATGATGTCATAAGGGTGGGGCCCTGATCCAATAGTATTAGTGTCCTTATAAGAAGAGACACACAAGAGAGCTCGCTCTTGTTCTCTCTGTACCACATAAGGACATAGTGAGAGGGAAGCTGTCAATAAGCCAAGAGAAGGGGACTTGTCTCGAAAGATATCTTACTGGCACCCTGATCTTGGACTTCCCAACCTCCAGAACTGTGAGAAATCAATTTTTGTTGTTTAAGTCAACTCAGTCTATGGTGTTTTACTAGGGCAGCCCAAGCACCCTAAGACTGATCATTTGTGTGGGTGATTGATGTGGCCTGTGCTTGATGTTTTAGGAAAGTGTGACATTCAAGGACGTGGCTGTGTCTTCACTGAGGAAGAGCTAGCACTATTGGATAAGGCCCAGATAAACCTGTACCAAGATGTGATGCTGGAGAACTTCAGGAACTTCGTCTCAGTGGGTGAGTAACTGACCATCAGACCACTGGGTCTGTTTCCTCAGATCATGAGCTTCCAACCAGATAGACTATTCCAGTTGGAGCACACAGAGCAACTCTGGCCACTGGGGAGAAAACTCCAGCATGTGCAGGTGAGAACCCTGCAGTTAATGAGCTTTTACAGACAAACAGGAACACGTGGCCCCATGTGAAGTGTGGGTGAGGGAGCTCTCCCCAAACCCTGCACCCCACCTGATACAGGTAGTGAGCCCCCCTCCCTCCTCACACACGTGGACTCTCAGTCTTCATGTTTCACAGAGAGAGACTGATGAACTTTACACACCACCGTGGGCCTTGATCCCTTGGTTGCTCCTGGAGAAAAACCAATGTTTTGGACAAACTAGTGTTCAAGTAACCAAAGGAGAACTTTGGCTTGGTTGACACTTGTCATAGTACTATAGTAAGTGTAATCAAAATGTTAGCTTGGCCGGGCGCGGTGGATCACGCCTGTAATCCTAGCTCTCTGGGAGGCCGAGGCAGGCGGATTGCTCGAGGTCAGGAGTTCGAAACCAGCCTCAGCAAGAGCGAGACCCTGTCTCTACTATAAATAGAAAGAAATTAATTGGCCAACTAAGATATATAGAAAAAATTAGCCGGGCATGGTGGCACATGCCTGTAGTCCCGGCTACTTGGGAGGCTGAGGCAGAAGGATTGCTTGAGCCCAGGAGTTTGAGGTTGCTGTGAGCTAGGCTGATGCCGTGGCACTCACTCTAGCCTAGGCAACAAAGTGAGACTCTGTCTCAAAAAAAAAAAAATGTTAGCTTATTTGCTTACTTTTAGCTAACTATCTAACCTCATTTTAATTTCTTAGCAGCCCATATACAGGTAGGTGTCACCTCAGTTTCATTTATGAGATAGTTGCTATTATTATATTCCATTTTACAGATGAAACAACGGAGGCATAGAGTGGATAAGTAACTTGCCTGTGATCACACAGCTTGTAAGAAGAACTGGGATTTGAGCCCTCCCAATCTGGCTTAAGTCCCTGTGTTTTTAATAAATAACCAAATGAAACTGAAGTGCCACTATGTCTAGAGTCTAGACCAGGCGTCCTCAAACTACAGCCCACAGGCCACATGCTGCCCACCTAGGACATTTATCCATCCCGCCGGGTGTTTTTGCCACCACTGTCTGTCCTGCTTAGAAGCTGAGTCATCCCAGGCCCACAGTACGCACTCTCCAATAGTCTGAGAGACAGTGAACTGGCCCCCCGTTTAAAAAGATTGAGGACCCCTGGTCTAGACTATAGACACAGGGCCTCTTTGCCTAAATCTCCATATCCTCCAGCTGTTTCCCAAACTTCAGGATCCAACCCCATTGGTAATTCCTGAAATCAAGTTACTGTGTCATAACCAGCAGTTTGTTAAAAAGCAAAATAGATTCATTGAATAAAACACTAAAGTATTTATCAGAGTGCATTACACATAGGAAAGTAAGTATCACCTGATGAGACTTCTGTTTTAGTCAGCAGTCTGTGTCTATTTCTCTGTGTGTGCATAGCAAGTCACAATGTCAGTTCTCTTGCTGTAGGATTATAGACAATATAGTTGGGAAATTACTGCTGTAAGCCCATTCTGGGCAGCTCAAAATCTCCCTTTCCCTGATACCACTTTATGAACTAAAGTCACTTTCAATAAAATGACTCAGAAACTACCTTGAACCAGAAGCTATATCCAGATGGACTTGACCTTGGTTTTCATGCCATTTTGAAGCCTATTTTAGAGTGCCAAGCCTGTGGACACCTTCTTCTGCCTCAGCGTCCTGTTTGTTATGGCACAATTTTGCTTTCTTGGGTGCCAGATTCCCCACTCCTCATTCTCATAGTCTTGGCTCTTTGAGATTCTGCAGTAACTTAAAATGAGTTAAGGGATTGCTTGAGGTCAGGAGTTCGAAACCAGCCTGAGCAAGAGCGAGACCCCATCTCTACTATAAATAGAAACAAATTAATTGGCCAAGCAATATAGAAAAAAAAATTAGCCGGGCATGGTGGCGCATGCCTGTGGTCCCAGCTACTTGGGAGGCTGAGGCAACGGATTGCTTGAGCCCAGGAGTTTGAGGTTGCTGTGAGCTAGGCTGATGCCATGGCACTCACTCTAGCCTGGGCAACAAAAGCGAGACTCTGTCTCTCACACACACAAAAAAAGGGTTAAGGGAATGGATTACAGGATCTTAAGGACTTTATTTTTTTCATGAAGACAGAGAACTTCAGGGAAAATAAATAGGGTGTCTCTTAAAGTCTGTCTCAAAGGTATACATGTGGGTCCCCCTCCAATCCCAGAACTATATTTCACAATATTATTCTCCTTTCAATCCCTACTACTGCTTCAGGCCCACCAGGTACAGTTGTGCAGGTTGTACACAAATATACATGATGGACCTATCCCATATGATAGTGATGTGAAGGAAGGGACATTATCAGGAAACAGGACTTGTTGCTTATTTCTAAAACTTTTATATAGTATCTTGGAAGGTTCTAGTGACCCTTTGTGTCTCAGTATGCCCAATATATATACACCCCATTAATATGTATTATTTATATATGTGTGTGTGTAAATACATATATATATATATTCTCCATAAATCATATGGAAGCTATACATTTTGTAGCAAAATGATTAAAGCTTTTTTATTGACTACTCTTACAACAGGGGGGTAAATATCTTCTTCCATAAATTCTTAACAAGATTTCTTTTTGCGCCATTCTAATAAACTTGAGGAGACAAAAAAAAAAAGAAAGAAAGAAATTAAGTAAATAAGATTTAAAAATAAATTTCAGGCCGGGCGTGGTGGCTCATGCCTGTAATCCTAGCACTCTGGGAGGCCGAGGCAGGTGGATTGCTCAAGGTCAGGAGTTCGAAACCAGCCTGAGCAAGAGCGAGACCCCATCTCTACTATAAATAGAAAGAAATTAATTGGCCAACTAATATATATAGAAAAAATTAGCCGGGCATGGTGGCACATGCCTGTGGTCCCAGCTACTCGGGAGGCTGAGGCAGGAGGATTGCTTGAGCCCAGGAGATTGAGGTTGCTGTGAGGTAGGCTGACGCCATGGCACTCACTCTAGCCTGGGCAACAGAGTGAGACTCTGTCTCAAAAATAATAATAATAATAATAAAAATAAATAAAAATAAATTTAAAAAAAAAAAGATTTGATTTTCCTGCAACACCTGATTTCTAATTGGTAGGTCCCAGGTAAGAATTACTGTGGTTCTAATTATTTCACAGTGAATAGAAGCCAAGGACAACTTCTCAGCTTGTCCTCCTTCATTTTCTCAAAACCTCTAGACAGATCATCTACTTGTCCTCTTAGCCAAATTCATTTTCTTCTCATAGGAGACCGGATTAAAACCAACATTTTGAATCTTCAGGAAAAAGGGCTGAGGTAACCTTTTGCAAGAAGTGCTCCACTGCTGGCAGATTTGGAAACAAAGGCTCCGTGAATTAACTGTGAATCAGGATTATGTCATGAATTTTCAAGGAGAGTCTTCTCCCCATTTAGAAGGAGATGTTTCCCTCTGTGAAGAGTGGGCAGGGTTGTCTCTTCAGATTTCTGAAAATGAAAACTATATAGTAAATGCCATTCCTTTAGAAAAGCAAGATGTCACAGCTTGGAAAGGCCTGACATAGGTTGTCACCCCAGAATCTTGGCAGAAAGCCAACGTAATGTCTGAGGCCCAGAATTCCCAGGAAACATCTAAGAGAATTCGCATGGAAGAGACATTGTATGGCTATGCTCTGTGTGATGACAGCTTCCATCGGACCTCACATGATCATGGTGATTTCCAAGAGTGGAAAGGAGAGGAACATGGCAGATGTCACAACTGCGGGAAAAACTTGGGTATGAAATCAACAGTTGAACAGCATCATGTGGCCCATGCAGAGCCATAACCTCGCAAATATAGTAACCATGGGATGGGCTTTATAGATGATGCAAATCCTAGTGTTTGTCACAGCACTCATGTAGGAGAATGATCTTATGAATGTGACCGGCATGGAAAGGACTTTAGTCAGAACCCAGACCTTGTTCATTGTACAACCCATTCATTCAGGTGAGATGCCTTATGGATGGGCCACGGGCTGCACACACAGCTCAGACCTTCCCACACATCAGAAAGTCCCCTCCGGAGATAAACCCTACAAATGTAAAGAATGTGGCAAGGGCTTCAGGCACAGCTCCTCCCAGCACAGCCATCATCGTGTCCACACGGGGGACATGCCCTACCAATGTGACATGTGTGGGAAGAGTTTTGGGTTTAGGTCACTTCTTTGTATTCATCAGGGAGTCCATATGGGGAAAAGGCCCTATAAATGCCAACAGTGCGGGAAGGGCTTTGATCAGAGCTCCAATCTTCTCGTCCATCAGAGAGTCCACACTGGAGAGAAACCCTAGAAATTCAGGGAGTGTAGCATGTGCTTTAGTTCAAGCTCTGTTCTTCAAGTCCATCGGAGGCCGCACAAAGGGGAGAAGCCTTATAGATGTGGCGAGTGTGGAAAGGGCTTCAGCCAAAGCACACACCTGCACATTCACCAGGAGTCCACATGGGGGAGAAACCCTACGAATGCAACCTGTGCGGAAAAGATTTGGCCTACAGTTCGGTCCTTCTCACTCATCAGAGAGTTCACATGGGAGAAAAACCATACAAATGTGAAATGTGCAGTAAGGGCTTTGGTTATAGCTCATATTTTCACTTACATCAAAGAGATCGCACCAGAGAGAAACCCTGTATATGTGATGAATGTGGGAAGGGCTTCAGATCTTCATGTTCATCTTTGAGTCCACACCGGAGAGAGGCCCTATAAGTGTAAAGAATGCGGTAAGGGCTTCAGTCGTAACTCGTATCTTCTTGCTCATAAGAGAGTGCATGTAGATGAGACACGATACACATGTTGTGAGTGTGGCATGGGTTTTAGTTATAGCTCAGACTTTCTTACTCATCTCAGACTGCACAAGAGGACAGAAACATTATAAATGTAGCAAGGCAGGGCTCACTCAGGAAAATGGAAACCACTCTGTATCCCTGATCACAGAGGATTCATCAGCCTTTGGAAGGGCTGGAGGAGGAAAAGATAGGGACACTGATGTCATCCTGCAGCACTGGACCATGCCAGGCAACCACTGTGGATCTCAAGAACTTCCGTGACGCTCCCATCAACTGCTATATGCTGCAGTGGCAAAGTAAGTGACAAATATGATTCTTGTGGCAGTGGCAATAGTTAGAAATCAAATTTCCATGAAAGGATATTCCCAGGAAGGAAATTCTAATGGGGATGAGTATGGTAAGGTCTTCAGTCCAGCCAGAGTCTTTTAGGTTTTTTAGAGAGTCCCCACCAGAAAGATACTCAACTGAATAAAACTAACATTTGCAGAAGTGAGCAATGACTTGTAGAACAACTGTGTTCATTATCAGAAGCAGACTGATGCAGTCTTCTTTCCTCTCAGCTGTCCTGTATAATAATGGATTTTGAGAGGGCACTCTTTCTGTCAATTTCCTTCCCAAATTGTGATATAATTTGGGATTATAGATGGATTTGGGAGGGGGAGATATCTTTGCAATATATTTTTTTATCTTCAAAAGCAATGCTTTTTTTGATCTTAGTGGATTTATAGATTTCATCATTTGGATCATGGTTTTTTTTTCCTAGTTTTCCTTGCATTGCATTTTGCTGCTTGTTATGGTTTGTATACAGAACAGCCATTCAAATGCAAATAAAACCATTGCTGAAGTGACATTTTCTTAGTGATCAAGTGGACTATAGTGAAAGATTAAAAAATCTCTGTGTCAGCAGGGAATGGGAAAATGAGCATTCTTAATATACGTTGATGGGACAGAAAACAAGTACAGCATTGTTGCAGAGGATCTTGTCTGTATGTATCAAACATACTATGTACATTGTCTTTGAGGCAGTGATCCTACTTCCCAGAATATATTTTTAAGATGTAATTGCACAAGTGGGAAAAAATGGTTTCAGAAATGAGGATGTTTCAAGAATGCTTGCAATGATAAGAATTGTTAACAACCTAAAAGTCCACGTATAAGAGAAACCCTACAAATGCAACGTGTGCGAAAGAGATTTCACCTACAGTTCGGTCCTTCTCACTCATCAGAGAGTTCACACGGGAGAAAAACCTTACAAATGTGAAGTGTGTGGTAAGGGCTTTAATTATAGCACATATTTTCACTTACATCAAAGAGATCACACCAGAGAGAAACCCTATAAATGTGATGAATGTGGGAAGGGCTTCAGTCGGAATTCAGATCTTCATGTTCATCTTCGAGTCCACACCAGAGAGAGGCCGTATAAGTGTAAAGAAGGGTTAATTCTTTACACTTATGGGTAATTATGGGTAATTCTTTCACTATAGTCCACTTGATCGCTAAGAAAATGACACTTCAGCAATGGTTTTATTTGCATTTGAATGGCTGTTCTGTATACAAACCATAATGAGTAAATTAGGGTACCCATGTAATGAAATAACATGGCTCCACCAACAATGACCTAGATCTGTACAAATTTTCACATAGTGTTGTCCATGTTTACAACGCACTCTAGTCCTCCTACTTGCACGTTCCATCACCATACACATGTACCCGCCACTGGCTGTAGCTCATCTGTTCCCCAAATGGATGCTACTCCTTTTGGGTGACATATACCCTGCCACCAGCTGCCAGCTTGCTTGTGATCCACCTACATCCTGAAATGTTGCTTCCTGCTTGCCCAGAAACTTGGGGGCCAACTCTGATTCAGGCAAAACAGATAACTTCCTTGCCCTCCAGTGGGCTGTAGCTATTGTAGGGCAGAGGAATTTGTAGGACAGAGGAAGGGCAGAGGAATTCTTCCAATTGTCGGGAATTTACTTGGGTGGGGTAATGAGCTAACCGCAAACCTTTGCTTCTGGTCATTGCTTGCTCGCTACACCGCTGTAAGGGGAATTATGGGATGAGGTCATTGAAGCACGGGCGACTGGCCCATCAGGCAATAGAGGGCAACCAACCCGCCAATTATTTCAAAAGGCAATAGTGGGCAACCAATCATTTTGAAGGTCAAGGCATGATCCATGCATAGTCGGCTTGTGCGCAGCTTGTGCACCATGGGGATAAAAGGCATGCCGTTGTTCCGGTCGGGGTCCTTGCCTGCGAGAGTGGCCACTGCATTGGCGCTCTGGGGCTTGGACCCTGGCTAGCCAGAAAATAAACCTCCTCTTGTGTGATTGCATCCTCGATGTCTCTGCTTTTCTGTCCGGTGGGGCTGTGGAAGGTCGGTCCCTAACACTATATCATCTTCAGGGAGGTCTGACCCTAGCCTTGGGGAAGCTAATGAAGCCTGAACCCCTTCCACCTTTTTCCTTCCTTGGGTACTCTCCCTCAGTACCATATAGATTTTTAAAAATATCTGATAATATGTACAATTTGTATTTGTCAGTTGTGCCTCAGTAAAGGTGGAAAAATATAGTTAGTCTTTTAGAAGTATAATAATGGCTTTCTCCTTCTGGTGGGCGGTGGTAGAAACAGGCTTTCTCAGGCATCTCCTGTGAAGATCTGACAGCTAAAGCCAGATTGTTTACCACCCACATAGTCAATTTTTTCCCTTACCAACATGGGTACCCTCACACTTGCCTTTTAAGAAAGGAAAAAAACATGGAGGTGAGATGTTGTCCATCTCCTGCTTCACGGAGGCCTTCCTGACTCTTCGTAAAGTATGGAGAAGTTACGGTCCTGTGCCTACTCTGCTTGGCCCTTAGATAATATGTTTTCCCAATAAACCTTATTCCTTAATCTCTTATGTGTGATCATCAAGTTGTGGTGGAGAACAACATTGGTGGACTTACTCTAGCATATATCAACATTCATTATAAATCTTCTGTAGTTGATACAGAGCTCAGGATAGAAAAATAAATCAATGGAAAAGAAGAGTCAAAAACTAGATCTATGTGACTGAGTTTATCAGCTTTTGATATGTTGGAGAAATGACAGTTGTTTTAATAACAGATGCTGGGTTCGTTGGATTCTCAACACTAGTTCTTCATACAACTGAAGACAAACAATACAAACATCATATAGCTGGTAGACTGGGGCCAGTGGCTATGCCTCCATCAGACTGCTCAAAGAAGCATGGTGACAGCTACAGGCTTCTTCTAGTCTGTCTTGTCTTTTTGTAAATTCATTTTATTGAGGTATAATTTATATAAAGTGCACAGATTTTTAAGTGCACATTTAAGTTTTAGCAAATGTCCATGCCCTTGTAACTAATGCCTATTCAAGATGTTAAATATTTTCTTTACCCCAGAAAGTTCCTTTATGCCCCTTTCCATCCAATCCCTCCCAAAAAGTTACAATCCCTGTTCTGATTTCTATCACAATATGTTAGTTTTGTCTATTCTTGAGCTTTGTATAAATGAAATCATATTGTATATACTCTTATGTCTGGCTTTTTTTCATTCAAATTTTTTTTTAAATTTGGAATTTATAATAGACTATTGTATATTTTATTATTTGTAAATTGTGTGATACACATCTTTTATATTAACAAATATTACAATGAACTTACATAATATACATACTTTTTTCCCTGGAGAGCCAGTTGTTAAACATTTTTTAGCACACCACTTGGTAAAGGGATGCAGCCCTAGAATTGGCCTTTTTCCTCTGAAGTCGACTGGCTTTGAATTAAAATGTTACATCATGTAAGGAAAATTGTTTTTCCTCATTCCCCACTCATTCTCTGTATCTACTTCCTGAGACTTGACAATGTTGGGAGACAGTTTTCTGCAATTTTCTTTCTTTTCTGAACGTCTATGGGCAGAGATACTGGTTTCCTTTGTTCCCCACTATCTGTTCAAAGGGAATCGCCTTGGAAGACAGAGATGGCATCTTCCTCTGGAGCAGTGGGAGATTTGTTTATGGTTCACTCTAATGAAGATAGGGTCTCCCCGGGGAGCAAAAGTCGTCGGTGGTTTTGTTGCCACCACTGCCCATTATAAAAGATTCAGGTTTCCTAAGCAAGGTTCCACTACTCCTGTATTCCAAGGTTCCACTCCTGTATTGCAGCTCACTATGTACACAAGCATCATCTAGCCTTCCACAGCACCCTATGGGATTGGGGTGCCAAAAATTAGTGCAAATGGGCCGGGCGTGGTGGCTCACGCCTGTAATCCTAGCACTCTGGGAGGCCGAGGCTGGAGGATCGTTCAAGGTCAGGAGTTCGAAACCAGCCTGAGCAAAAGTGAGACCCCGTCTCTACCAAAATTAGAAAGAAATTAATTGGCCAACTAAAAATATATAGAAAAAATTAGCCGGACATGGTGGTGCATGCCTGTAGTTCCAGTTACTCAGGAGACTGAGGCAGGAGGGTCGCTTGAGCCCAGAGTTTGTGGTTGCTATGAGCTAAGCTGATGCCAAGGCACTCTAGCCCGGGCAACAGAGTGAGACTCTGTCTCAAAAAAAAAAAAAAAAAAAAAATTCGTGCAAATGCTGACACTCTGGCTATTGCTATTATTGTAATAATGTCCTTTATCTCAGACCCAGAAGTCTGTTGTCTTCTCCCAGCAATCACGGGACTATGGCAGGATAACTTGTGAACTTGTAAATTGGGTAAATTTCTATATCCTTTTCAGTTCTTATATTCTTGGAAAAAAATGCAGGATTTGCATTGGCTTTAGTTGAAGAAAATATGATTTCTTGTTCATATATTTCCAGTCCCTTTTATGAAGTATTCTTGGGAAAAAAAACACTTGGATTTAATCTAGTTTTTAAATCAAAATTCTATTTTATAGGAAATTTAGTAGATTAGGGGAGAAAGTATGGGGAAGCCTTTCGACAAATCCAGGATTTAGACATCTTATTTGACATCTTGATTTACCCAACAGTTCAAGAACATAAAAAGTGGTGGTGGTAATGGTGTGTGTGTGAGGGTATAATTCTAGAATAAATTAACTTCAGGTGAGATAACTGTCAGAATCCTGGGTTTTGACACCAAAGATGTCAGGGTGGCAATCTGCCCTCAGTTCTTGGTGTGCTCTTGGCCAAAGAATGACCAGACACACCAAAATGTCAAGTCCAGACTGTTATCCCAGTGCTCTGACTTCTTACTTGGAAAAATCACCAGCAAGGCCAATATGATGCAGTAACCTCTGGCAGAGAGGTTTCACCAGAGTAACTCTTTATTGTAGGATAAAAGAGGTCTGTCTCCTCAAGTAAAGAGAGAGACAGAGCAACTCACTTGCTGACTGACCCACTCACTTCTAACTTGGATTGTTTCCTTTTATTAACCCATTCTGGAGGAGGGCTCTTGGGAGGTGCAGGATGTTATCAAATAATCAAGTGTCCTCAAAATTGGTCTAGATGAATACAGGCACATATAAAGAGGCAATCAAGTCAACTGCATCGAGATCCCATAGTCTTTTTTTTTTTTTTTTGAGACAGAGTCTCGCTTTGTTGTCCAGGCTAGAGTGAGTGCCGTGGCATCAGCCTAGCTCACAGCAACCTCAAACTCCTGGGCTCCAGCGATCCTTCTGCCTCAGCCTCCCGAGTAGCTGGGACTACAGGCATGCGCCACCATGCCCGGCTAATTTTATATATATATATCAGTTGGCCAATTAATTTCTTTCTATTTATAGTAGAGACGGGGTCTCGCTCTTGCTCAGGCTGGTTTTGAACTCCTGACCTTGAGCAATCCGCCCGCCTCGGCCTCCCAAGAGCTAGGATTACAGGCGTGAGCCACAGCGCCCGGCCTAAGATCCCATAGTCTTATGGTCTGTCTCCAGTGCAGCAAAGCCCAACTCCCTCTTAGAATCTTGTTTTTTCTCATACACATTGCTTCTCCTGTAAAATGTGCTAATTTTCTTTTTATATTAAAACCTTTGCTTCTCCCCCCACCCCCCATAGCCATATTTTATTTATATTCCCACGTACTAGCCTGTGCCAGTTTTTTCTGGAGAAAAAAAGTTATAACCATAAAAAGGCCAAGCGCTAATAGTCCTACAGTTGTGACTTAGATCAAATGTACTTAAAGACAAGTGATACTAGTGTGAGGGCGGAAGCACTGCCACGCGGAGGATTCTGGGAAGTGTAGTCGGAAGCACTTTCTCCCCAGGACGGCGGGGTCGTAGCTCTTGTGCTGCTTTGGAATTCTGGGAAGCGTAGTGTATATGTTCCATGTCGTGGACAGAAGTGTAGCCCTCCTGTATAACTCGGGCTTCCGGGAAGTGAGTTGCAGGAATTCTCCTCCAGGGAAGGTTGCGGTCATCATTCCCCACGTGAGACTTGACTCCTAGCGACGTCTCCGCGACACCTCTGCCTGGGCGAAGGACTGACAGTGGTGGAACCCTTTGCCTTGAGGAGAAGGATCGGCCAGCAGAGGACTAAGGGTGGAGGTGTTTCCGTTTCCCTAGCATTTGGGGAGATACGGGAATCCCAAGCTAGGACTAGGGTGGAGTCGTGCGTTAATAGGTTTGATGGTTTCCTGGTTTTTTTTGCTACCGCAGCCTTTCTGTTCAACCTGGCAGTGAGCATTGCCTCTTCCCGGCCGTCAAATGTTGCACGAATAACACGTTAATATATGTTTGCTTAACTCTGAGAACCGAAGCAGCGTGTAGAGTTTCTTGTCAAAGATACCTAAGAAGGCAAAAGCCATTTTGTACGAAGAGAGTAATTTTTAGCTGGAAAGGAGTTACATATGAAAACACGTTCACTTAGAGAAAGCAGCTAGACATTCGGTTGTTTATATGTTTACTTTGTATATTCAGTACATTTATACCTAATCTCTGTGAATCAGTTTCTGGGGTATAATTATAGTACCTCCCCAGTAAGGTTGTGAGAGTTAAATGAAGTTAACACTTTTAAAACGCTTGGAATAGGGATGACATATGAAAAAAGTGGCTTGTTATCGGGGCACAGAGCTCCAGCCAAAGCAAAAATAGTAATGAGTAAGTAAGTCTTCATGAAATTTTAAAATTTCAGTATGTTAAAAAGGCACCATGGTAAAGGTATAGAAGACTCAAAACAAACTGGGCTAAAAATATTGACATCACATATACTAGAAAATTGCTTATAATTCTTAATAGGAATCTTAGAGATTCATAAGAACCATTACCTCACCCACTGCCCTCCCTAAATTATCCTTTCATCAGTGAGGCAACTTACAGTATTTATGATATCAAGAGCAGAGTGAAAATAGGTGATGTGATACTAGGAGCTCAAGGAAGGAAAACTTTCAAGATTTTATAAAGGATTTATCCCTTTCCACATTATAACATTTTGTCTGTATCAATACAGCCCTTCCATTTGCCTTATGACACACATTTCAGTATCAGCAATTAAAGCCAAGGAAACATGGGAAACATTTACTCCTTCTGCTTTATGACCTAATCAATGGTTGCATCTGATATTTTGTGGGTTATAGGCATCCAAGTCTATTCTTGTGGTTCTTGGAATGAATACCTTATGGTAGTAGTAACACTAGCAAGAGTTCTAGATGCATCCACACCCCAATTGAATACAAAAGGAAATCCAGTCAAAGAAAAGTTGAGATCTTGTATTCCTTAAATGCGGTGCCCAGTACAGGTCAGCCCAATTTCCTTTTAGTATCTAAATTTTTGGCAACACATCGCTTCCCTTCTATAATCTGTTTTTCTTTCTTCTTTCTTTTTTCGTATTTTAAGCTTCTCCATTCTCTTTTTAATCGGATAGCCTCTTGGAATAGGTAAATAGTAGGTGGGTTGTTTGCTTTGGCTGAATTTACTTGGGTGCCACGTTTGAAAGAAAAAAATTTTCAAGAAAAAAGGGAGGTTGGGGCTGTTGAGCTCGACTAGCAGTATAGAACTAATTCAGACTGAATATCCGAAAGAGAATAGTGACTTTCCAAATAGTGACATATCCGAAAGAGAAAGCCAATTTGCAGGAAGCACTTCCCTGCAGGAGATCCGGGAACTGTCCAGAAGATCCACAGGGTCAGAGACACTCTACAAGAAAGGCGCCTTTAAGGTATGGTATGCTAGAGAAAATAAAATATACATATATTTATATATATGCATATACACACACACACATCACAGCTCCCTGTGTTTGGAAGCACTTCGGGTCTATGATGGCGCGGTTCCACAATTTGTTCCCGACCCACACACGATGTGAAATTCAATCCCAAGTTCTCGGCGTGGAAGCCGGCACTTCCGCCCTAAAAAGGCGACGCGGTATTCTGGGAATTCTGGGAAGTGTAGTCGGTACGCCTGTGTACGCGGATAACTTCCGCTACAGGAGGCTGCCGCTGAGTCCCTGCTCCCGTCGGGAATTCTGGGAAGCGTAGTCCGGGAGGTCTCTGTAGGCAGAGTCACTTCCGCCCCAGGTACGCGAGGCCGCGGCCTTCGTTCCTCCCAGAAAGGTGAGCCCTCCCCTCCCGGTATTCCTCTCCCTGCGTCTACACCGATCTTTCTTCGTTTTGCTGTGGCCAGCGGTAACCAGGCGGGCGACCTTGGGGAAGAGAATGCGCCCACGGCGAAGGGCGGGGTCTGTATTCCCTTTGAATGAGCCTTCTCAAGTGTGGGGCTGTTGGGGCATCCCGGGCTTGGGGCCGGGGCCAGGGTTGTGCATCGCCCGGATGGAGGGTCTCTTGGGCTCTGCACTCCCTCAAACCTTTTCCCGACCATCAGCCAGCTCCGCAACTTCCTAGCATGTTAGGCAAGTATCTTAATCTCCCTCTGCCTCTGTTTCCTCTTCATCTAAATGGTATTAGTATCTACCTGATAGAGTTATTTTAAGAGTTAAATAAAAAGACTTAGAACCGAGCCTGCCTGACATGTGGTAGAAGACAGGTGTAGCTACTAGTACTTTTCAATTTTCCCAGAAGCAGTCAGTTCCCTGAAAGCATCTGTGAACCCATGATGAAGTCACAGCTCTAGCTGCACTGTCCCTGGCCCTTCTCTGATTCCTGAAGCAGATTTTTTTTTTTTTCCCCAGGAGAGGGTCATTCCTGGCTGTTGTCAGGGGAGTCCACTGTAATATATGCAGGAGTTCTGATTAAATTCTGATTTCTCCCAGTCTCCTTTCCATCCCTAGCCTTAGCTTCTTGAAAAAAGCTGCAGGGAGAAGGAGGGAATGACCCTTTGACACCTGCAACAGAGTTTCACCTGAGTAGAATTTAGATCCTTCATTCTCCTGTGTCCTCCCTTCTCAGGGAAGAAGATATTTCCTTCACTCATTGACAGATTCGGCCATAAAGATGCCCTGATACTTGTTCAGTAAAGGCAGGAAGGAATGGGGGAAGTACTTGGCCATGAGTAATAAAAATAGTATTTAAACATTTAGTACTAATTATCCTAAGAGTTTTATATGAATTAGCATATTTAATCCTCACAAGAGCCCTATGGATGGGGAATACTGTTATTCACATTTTAAAGATGAGAAAGCCAGGACACAGCATATTTTATCTTAGGTCACATGGCTAGTAAGAGGTTGAGCTGGAGTTTGAATTCAGATCGTTTCAATCCATTGCCTTAGTTTTGAATGTGTTTAGTATCAGATTGAGAAGGCATATGTGGATTTTTGAAGAAAGCCATGAAAGCTATGTTAATGAGCTTTGACTTTTGGATAAGTTTTTTTAGTCATCTGCAATTTAATTGTATTTTATTTGCAATATTTATAGTTCATATTCTGATTATAGAAATGATTGCATATTGCAGAGGACTAAGGAAACACATAAAGTATAAAAAAATTTACCCAAACTGCAGAAATTAGCAATAACAGTATTAATACTTTCCTCTTCAGTAGATTTATTTTTGGATTTTTACCTAAGTTTTACAAAACAAGCTTCATAGCTTTTATTTTTCCCTCAACCTTTTATTATGGAAATTTATATGTATTGAGAAACAAGCACAAAAAACTATACACATTCATAAATGCTCTATTCATAAATTCCAAAAACTGGGGGGAAAAAAACCAATCCTGGGTTGGTGGATCATATGGAAAGTATGTGAGGGTTAGGTTGAGGTTCATCTTTACATATGAATGACCAACCATCCCAACACCATTTGTTTGGGTTCATTTCTGTACTGTCTTATGCTAAATTGATCTATGTGCATATCCCCTCACCAATACCAAGATATTTTAATTGGTATAGCTTGATAGTAAGTCTTAAAATTAGATAGTTTGATTCCTCCAAATGTATTCTTTTTTTTTTTTTTTTGTCAAAATTGATTTAGCTATTCTGGTTCCTTGGCTTTTCCATGTTTTAGAATGTTTTCCATGTTTTAGAATCAGCATATCTATATCTACAAAAAATTCAGCTGTGATTTTTTTTTTTTTTTTGAGACAGAGTCTCGCTTTGTTGCCCAGGCTAGAGTGAGTGCTGTGGCGTCAGCCTAGCTCACAGCAACCTCAAACTCCTGGGCTCAAGCAATCCTGCTGTCTCAGCCTCCCGAGTAGCTGGGACTACAGGCATGTGCCACCATGCCCGGCTAATTTTATATATATATCAGTTGGCCAATTAATTTCTTTCTATTTATAGTAGAGACGGGGTCTCACTCTTGCTCAGGCTGGTTTCGAACTCCTGACCTCGAGCAATCTGCCCGCCTCAGCCTCCCAGAGTGCTAGGATTACAGGCGTGAGCCACCGCGCCTGGCTTCAGCTGTGATTTTGGTTGGCATTGTGTTAAATCTACATATCTATCTTTACCGTGTTGTGTTTTCCAATCATGAGTATAACATGTGTCTCCATTTATTTAAGTATTCTTTAATTTCTTATACCAGTATTTCATAGCTTTATACATACAGATCTGTGCATGTTTTTAGACTTATTCCTAGTATATCATTTATTCTTTTGGAGCTATTATAAATTGTATTGTTTTTAAATTTTGTTTTCCAGTTGTACATTGTTAGTGCATAGAATTACACCTGATTTTTGTGCTTTGACCTTGCATTCTTTGATTTTGGAGATATTGGTCTGTAGTTTTCTTTTTCCTACTGTCTTTGGTATCAGTAATTCTGGCCTTATAAAATGGATTGGGAAGCGTTCCCTCTTCTTATATTTTCTGGAAGAGATTATGTAGAATTAGTGTTATTTCTTCTTTAAATATTTGGTAGACTTTACCAGTGAAACTATTCGGCTTAGAGATTTGGAAGGTTTTTAACAATGAATTCAATTTTATAATTATTCACGTTATTTCATCTTGTATTTGTTTTGGTACTTTATAATTTCCAAGGAATTGGTCCATGTCATCTAAATTTTCAAATTTATGTACATAGAATTGTTCATAGTATATATTCCCATATTTCTTGTTCCTTTGATGCCTGCCTGGTCTTAGTGAGATCCACTCATTCATTCCTGATTTTGGCAATTTTTGCCATCTCTCTTTTATTCTTTGCCAGTCTTGCTAGAGGTTTATCAGTGTTTTTGATCTTAAAAACAGACAAAAAAGGCTGGGCGCAGTGGCTCACGCCTGTAATCCCAGCACTTTGGTAGGCCATGGCCGGAGGATCGCTCAAGGTCAGGAGTTCGAATCCAGCCTGAGCAAGAGTGAGACCCCCCCCATCTCTACTAAAGATAGAAAGAAATTAATTGGCCAACTAAAATATATAGAAAAAAATTAGCCAGGACTGGGTGCGGTGGCTCATGCCTGTAATCCTAGCACTCTGGGAGGCCGAGGCGGGCGGATTGCTCGAGTTCAGAAGTTTGAAACCAACCTGAGCAAGAGCGAGACCCCCGTCTCTACTATAAATGGAAAGAAATTAATTGGCCAACTAAAAATACAAAAAATTAGCAAAAAATTATACAAAAAATTAGCCGAGCATGGTGGTGCATGCCTGTAGTCCCAGCTACTTGGGAGGCTGAGGCTGCATGATTGCTTGAGCCCAGGAGTTTGAGGTTGCTGTGAGCTAGGCTTAAGCCACTGCACTCTACCCCAGGCAACAGAGTGAGACTCTGTCTCAAAAAAAAAAAAGAAAACCCATCGATGTTATACTTTTTGCTTCTAATAGTAAGACATATTTTGAAGAACTCAAGAGAAGATTAATCTATCATATTTTCCCAGATTTTTACCATTCTGTTGCTCCTCCGTCCTTCTTGGTGGTCCTAATTTCTTTCTGCTATCATTTCCCTTTTGTGTGAAGAATTTCCTTTGGTAATCCTTTTAGAGCAAGCCTGTGGGCTTTGAATTCTCTTAGTTCATCTGAGAGTATCTGTATCTCATCTTCATTTCTGAATATTTTTTTATACTACTGTATCCTAAGTATACAATTCTGCGTCGACGGTTCTTTTCTTTCACCACTTTAAAAGGACTGTGCCACGTCCTTCTGACTTCTGTGGTTTAGGATTCATGGGAAGCTTTGTACTCACAGGTGATAAGTTGTTTTTCTCTGGCTGATTTCAAGCAGTATTATCACCTGGCAGCCCCCTACAAAGGCAAATCCTTGAGTCCAGTCCCAAACTGACTTATTTAGAATTTTAAAGTGTTGGAACCAAAGGCTTTAATTTTTACTAGAGCTCCAGTTGATTATTATGCACTTAAAAGTTTGACAAGTATCTGTAGAATAGCCTCACTTAACTTGTAAAGATTAGTTGTTTATCTTACATACAGTAGAATTTATTCTTTTTGGTGTACGTTTCTGAGTTTTGACAACTGCGTTGTCATGTAGATTTCACCACCACGGTCAAGACACACACAGCAGTTCCATCACCCAAAAACATTGTTTTGTGGTACCTTTTTGTAGGCAAACTCTTGCCCCACCCTTAACCCCAGGAAACCCCTGATTTACTCTGAACCCCATTCCCTTTTCCATAATGTTAGTTACATGAATGAAATTAATGTAGCATGTAGTTTTGTGGGGTTTTTTGTTTTGTTTTGAGACAGAGTCTCGCTTTGTTGTCTGGGCTAGAGTGAGTGCCATGGTGTCAGTCTAGCTCACAGCAACCTCAAACTCCTGGGCTCAAGGAATCCTCCTGCCTCAGCCTCCTGAGTAGCTGGGACTACAGCCGTGTGCCACCATGCCTGGTTAATTTTTTCTATCTTTGGTAGAGATGGGGTCTCTTGCTCAGGCTAGTCTTGCACTCCTGACCTCAAGCAATCCTCCCACCTAAGCCTCCCAGCGTGCTAGTATTACAGGTGTAAGCCACCATGCCTGGCCAAGTCTAATAATCTTAAACAAGTTTATTTTCTCTGGACACATTTCTTTGCCTACTATAATCAAACATGATTTGATTAACTCATCACTGGTAAATTACTTTCCTTGCTTGAGTCAGAAATAGAAGCTGAATATCTGAATATCCCAAACTTAACTTTGGTTGCAGCCTCATTTTCATTATTTGTTTTTGTGAAGAAATTCTGTTCGGATGAGATGTTAAATTTTCTAGTTTTTCTGACCATTGCTTTATTGTGACTTCAAAATATGTGTGATGAGTGCTTAGCCTGACAATGTCGACATGATGCATTCTTTTAGCATTGAGCTATATTGTCACTGTATAATAAGCAAAAGGCTTTGACATCCAGTTCAATAAAGTATTTCACCTCTGTTGTGCCTTAAAAGCGTGATATAGTCTATTTTTCTTTTTTTTTTTTCTTGTTTTGGCATGATGAGTATGTACTGGTAACAAAGAAATTAAAATGTGTGGTATAGTATAATAATGCCTGTGATACTTGAAATGCTATTCAGTTAACAGCGTTTAACCCAATCAAGTTATCCCAGTGCTGAGTTACTGTGATTTGTATTGTGCTTAGCAACAGTCCAAAGAAATGAGAGTAGCTGTTACAACTACACAACTCTGCCACTGTAGGGAGAAAGCAGCCATAGGCAATACATAAACAAATGAACATGCCTATGTACAGTACAACTTCATGGGCAGTGAAATTTGAATTGCGTATAATTTTCACATCATAAAATAACCTTTTGTTTTTTCAATCATTTAAATATAGAAAAACTATTCTTATCTCATAGCCTGTACAAAAACGAGCAGCAGGATAGATACCAGGCTCTGCTCCTGGCTTGTGTTTTCTCTGTCAATTCTCTTGAGAGGCCAAATGGCCTAGTGGTTAATTGCATGTGTTCGGCTTGCAAACTGCCTCTTTTCATGTCATAGTCTGTGGTTTGCATCCCTCTCTGCAAACTGTAGTCACCTAGGGGGATTTCATAAAAACTCTTCTTTGACAGAACCTGATTAGTAGATCCTGGACGGGGGCCTGGGCATTGGTATTATCTTTAAAAACTCCCTAGAAATACCAGTGAGCTGGCAGATTGAGAGCCACTGTCTTAGTCATTGAGAACACAAACTCTTGGCTAATAATCCTGGCTGTTCTGCTGGCTAAATGCATAATTATGAGCAAGTAACTTAAAATCTTTATGCCTCAGCATTCTTAACTGTAAAAGAAGTTACAGATTGTCTAACCCTCTTGGATGATATGAGGATTAAATGAGGCAGTTCCTGTAAAGCCCATGATTTGGCTCTTGACTTCTTCTCACCACTTTTTATGCTTCCTTTTGTTGATGGAAAAGAACCCAAGTGGAAGTGACCATGTCCTAAAACCACACCCAGGAAGCCTTGAGCAAGCAGACTCGCTGTGGTTGGGTTATGGTGTGGTTTTATATATTTCAGGGAGACAAGAATTACACATAGAGTCATAAATCAGTGCATGGAAGTTATACATTGGTTTGGCCCAAAAAGGCAGGACATCTCGAAGCAAGGGATTATAAGGTTATCATAATAGGTGGGTTTAAGAATTCTTTGATTTGTAATTGATTAAAGAAATGAAGCTTTGTCTAAAGGCTTAGAATATTTTAAGATGAGAAAGTCTTGTTAATCAGAGACAAGACACTAGACATAGACTTATGAAATCTGTTGGGTGAATTGTTTTGTGCATACATCTTGTGGATTCTACAGCAGTGGCCGTGTGGCCAGGAACTTGAGGGGTGGTGTGCCCTATTGGAATAGCAGACCATTCTCTGAGGTGGTGCTGAAAGGCTCTGACCTTATCCACAATTCATGATTACCTCTATTTAAAAAAATTTTGGGGGGAGTGCTTTCTCTTCCACAGGTAGCCTTCAAGCTGCCTGAGCACAAAATAACAAACTTTGAGGAAGAACCCACAAAATTAAACTCTTGATCTCCAGATCCTCCCAGTGCTCAAGCACTGAGCTACTTTATACAGATGAGCACCCCACAAATGACCCTGTGAGTTAAGTGTTTTCATCACCATTGTGATTTTGTCAAATTGAGGCCGTCACATTTTGTGTTTGACTTAGCTGTAGTAGCGTCACAGGTTCCATTAGTCTTTTGTCGTATCCATGTAGAAAGAGGAATGTACCATTGAGCCTTCTCTGGCTTCAGGAAGAATATTTACCAGCCCCTCTACTTTTTATACAGGCGGTCTCAATGTGGGATACTGGGCAACAGATAAAGTCAGAAGCCAGGGTTCCAGACATTCCTAAAGTTACGGGTGACTTTCCCTAGACAGAGCCATGACCTCTGCTGTCCAGATCTTACAAAACAACATTGTCAAGGAAAGTTTTATGGTGCAAAATAATATCTGCTTCTCTGCAGCTGAAAGGAAATAGAGAACCATGGTTGAGTTATAATAGCTTTCTGCTACTCACACATATAATCCTAACAACAATTGTTTCATTTTGGCACTATTACCATCTGAATTTTGCAGATGACAGAATGGAAGCATTGGAATGTAACCACAGTTACTCAGCAAGTGTATATAGCAGCGCCTGGTTTTGAACACAGGCATTTTGTCCCGAGTCTGCTTTTCATGGGTACATTCCACTGCCTCTCCTTCCCACGTTTCCCAGGATCGGAATGAGCAGGCTGGGCGCTGCGAGGGCTGCTGGGTACAGCTGCATGGGCTGTTCCATGCATACAGGAGGGCACCCTACCAGGACAGCCGAGTGGTAGCTGGAATCCAGCCCACGCTGCCTGCTCCATAGACAGTGTGTGTGGCCACATCTGCTGGGGGAAGAGGCACCTTTTTCTAATTTGCACAAAGATAAACATTTCCCTTCCTCTCACGGCTTCTTTTGTGTTACCCTGCTCTGCCTTCTCAGGTTTCTGCCTTCCCCTAGAAAAAGAAGGAGAAAATGACCAAATCCCAGGTGAGTTGATTTTCATTTCTGTCATTTAACATGTTACCTCATTTCCCCGTGAGTGGACACATAGTTTTCCTTTCTTTGCCAAGGGTAAAGAACAGCAGACACTGAATATTGCTTCTGTTTTTGCCTTTTCTACAATTTCCTTTAAGTTTTTAATTTATTTTATTATTATTTTTATTTCACAAATAATAGTATAAAAGAGAATAGAAATAAACAATCCCATACATTATCTCCCTGCTTACAAATCTTCTGTTTTTTTCCCATGGTCATTTTTAAAATAAGCATTCCTAACCATACTTGCAGTAATAGGTACAATTTTGAATTGGCATTTTTTTCCACTTAAAATAATAGCACTTAATTTTTATCATCTAATATTATTTCAGTGAACTGAAGGGGGGTTGTTACCCCCTTCCCCTTTTCTTTAAATTATTTCTCACTCACAAGCTTTTAAGCTCCTGAGGATTCTTTCAATTTTACATTATAGCATCAGATTTCCTACATACAATCTTTACTCAAAAAGCAATTCTGAGAGAATTAGGAAATTATTTGTCCTTAATGTTCTAGGGACTCAAAAATATTTTTTTTCCCCTAAGTGATACTTCAGGTACTTTGTAAAAAGAATACCTAAACTATGCTTTTTGTCTAATAGGATCCTATTAAAGGTAAACTTGGGGCCGGGCGCTGTGGCTCACGCCTGTAATCCTAGCTCTTGGGAGGCCGAGGCGGGCGGATTGCTCAAGGTCAGGAGTTCAAAACCAGCCTGAGCAAGAGCGAGACCCCGTCTCTACTATAAAAATAGAAAGAAATTAATTGGCCAACTGATATATATATAAAAAATTAGCCGGGCATGGTGGCGCATGCCTGTAGTCCCAGCTACCCAGGAGGCTGAGGCAGAAGGATCACTCGAGCCCAGGAGTTTGAGGTTGCTGTGAGCTAGGCTGACGCCACGGCACTCACTCTAGCCTGGGCAACAAAGCGAGACTCTGTCTCAAAAAAAAAATAAAATAAAATAAAGGTAAACTTGGAAAAAAATAGATGTTTTCATACAGGAAGAGCTAGATTCTTTTTCACCAGTACATGAAACTTTGTGTGTGTCTTCATGTGTTTCATTATTCATGTATAATTTCATTAGAGTAACACAGGTACTTAATTTAAAATTTAGTAGTGTGGACACTTTCCATCTGTCATGCTATTCACTGCCCCAAATAACTGTCTGAGGGGGACCTTAGAATCATTTGCACTGTTCTGAAAATAAGAGGTCCATGTTCATATAGGAAGATAAGTGTCTGGCCAACTCCAAAGTCTTTGCCTTCTGTTTCAAGGGTTTCAAGCATACCATTTGGGTGGAAAGACAGACACAAAAGCAAACACAACTCAACTGGAGTTCTTCATTCAGAGCTGAGGTTGTGGTGCCCTGAACTCCAGCCAGAACAATGCAATATTAAAAAGTCTTCATGTAAAAATTTTAAATTTCCCTACAGCAAAATGTTACAAAACAAATAGCAAAGTGAATTACAGTGTACCTGGAAGAAAAGACCTCAGTCCCTGCAAAATCCAATAAGGGTGAATTAAATAAATAATGTAATGTGTGTGATTAAAATAGGGGAGACAGACACCATCGGATACTGTTGAAACTAAAGCTTTTGTGGGGAAAATGTCATTATTGATAAAATTTGAAATATTAGTAGCCGAGGATGCAGTGGCATTTCAGGGACTTAACCTATAGGAGTGCCAACAAGAGGCATCAATTGAAAGTGCGAGGATTTGTTCTCTTACGGCCCTTCTGGTGGATGAAATTAGCAGTATGGAAGGCAAACAGAAGGCAGCTGTTTAATTTTGACCCAAGTCCTTCAGAATCCAGAACAGCTTCCTGTCCTTTACACCTTCTCAGCACTGCCCCGCTTTCAGAGTCTGCGTGTGTTTGGTGTCGTAGGAGATGGTGACATTCAGGGACGTGGCTGTGGTCTTCACGGAGGAGGAGCTGGGGCTGCTGGACTCTGCCCAGAGGAAGCTGTACCGAGAAGTGATGCTGGAGAACTTCAGGAACCTGCTCTTAGTTGGTGAGGACAGGTGCCCTGTGTAACTCAGTGGCAGCCTCCTGAGGGGTCTTCGTGCTCACTTGTTTGAAACTCTAAAAATCGTTTGAAAATCTAAAAATGATTTCAGGAATCCCACCTGTGCAACACAGACAAGATGTTTCTGATGATTCTCTCCCTTTGTTTTGAACTGTAAAATGGGCAAATTGTGGTCCTGCCCCCCTGCTTTGTCATCAAACCAGTTTATTAAGTTGCTCCAGCTTTTTTAGAGACAGGGTCTCACTCTGTCTCCCAGGCTGGGGAAGTGCCATCATAGCTCACTGGAACCTCGAATTCCTATGCTCAAGTGAGCCTCCTGCCCCCTGCTTCCCAGATAGCTAGGACTACAGACACATGCCACTATGGCTGACCAGCTAATTTTTTTTATTTTTTGTAGAGACAGGGGTCTCACTATGTTGCCCAGGCTGGTCTTGAACTCCTGGCCTCAAGTAACCCTCCCACCTCGGCCTCAAAAAGTACTAGGATTATAGGTGTGAGCCACTACACTCCACCTCCAGCTTTTTTGTTTTTCAGGACACCAGTAACTGTTTATTACCTTGACTTTTTGGAGGTCTTTTTGTTTTTTCTTTGACAGTGTAGTTGTAAATAATTTTAAGCTTACAGAAAACTTGCAAAAGTAAAAGTTCTGAAGTGACATTTTTGAAGAGTACTGTCATCCTTCCCCCTATTTTTATTTTTTTGAGACAGTCTCAACTGTTACCCAGGCTAGAGTGCCGTGGCATCAGCCTAGCTCACAACAACTTCAAATTCCTGGGCTCAAGTGATCTTTCTGCCTCAGCCTCCCGAGTAGCTGGGACTACAGGCATGCGCCACCATGCCCAGCTAATTTTTTCTATATATGTTTAGTTGTCCAGTTAATTTCTTTCTATTTTTAGTAGAGACGGGGGTCTCGCTCTTGCTCAGGCTGGTCTCGAACTCCTGATCCTCCCACCTCGGCCTCCCAGAGTGCTAGGATTACAGGTGTGAGCCACCGAGCCTGGCCTTCCCCCTATTTTTAATAGAACATTCCTAATGTTTCCTCAAAATTAGATTCAGATGATTCTGTGCAGGTGCTAACACTACATAGGTAGTGTATCCTTTGAGAGAATCACATCTGGGGGTGCTTGCTGGCCTGTTGTCCCTCACAGGTGATGTTAATTTTGATCATCCCGTCAAGACTGTGTGCACTTTCCCCACTATACAATTACTGCTTTTTCTGGCCTTGTAATCATAGGGCAACACTAGTATTTCCCTATAGATTTGATATCCAGTGGTGATTCTTGCCTTATCTAGTCTTTACCATGCTGGTTTTCTGACCTGGCATTTCCTTCACGTTTAGCAGTCAGCACTTGGCATTGTACAGTGAGCCAGAGCTCTCCGCTTCTCAACCATGAATGTATTTGTTATTTGTAGGGACTTGTGAATTCTTCTTAAACAATGGTTTATAATTTATTACTGTCATTTTGATGTTGAAGTTGCCTAAAATTTGGCTCCTTTGTGTCCTTACAGCATTCCCCCAATTTTTTTTTTTTTTGAGCATTTCCTTACTTTGGCATAGTTTGATGTTTTGTGTTTATCTTTTACTTTGCCCCAGCTCTGGAATCATCCTTTTCTCTTATTGGAGAACGGTATTTAACATCAAGGTCAGGATGCTAGGTCTTTGTTTCTTGGTCTCAGGGGATAGAGCTAGGAGGGCTCTGTGTGTGTGTGTGTGTGTGTGTGTGTGTGCGCGCATGCAGATGTATTCATGTACATACAAGTACACAGACATATCCTTATAAATTTGCATATATGAAGAGATGTTCAGTTTCATTGAAAAAAGAGAAATATTAAAATTATACTGAAATACCATTTCTCACCCATGAGATTGGCAAAAATTCAAAAACTTAACACCGTACATTTTTTGGCAAAGCTGTTGAGCATGAAGCACTCTCATACATTGCAAAGAAGAATACAAAATGATACAGCCCCTCAGGAGGGGAAGTTTAAAGTATCTAACACAGCTATGTATTTCCTCTTCCCAGCAATCCATTTCTAGCAATTTGCTGTAAAGGTAGTGCCAAAGAGTATCAATAGTGTACTACAATTCATGTAAGAAAGATGGGAAAATGAGTACATGCCGAGGATTTCTATATCCGCTTATCTTTGTAAGAAGAAACACAGGAAGGAAGGATTAACCAGGAAATCATGAAGTTAGTTTCTTAGAGTGGGTGGGAAAAGGTGGAAGGAATGTGGGATACCTTTTGTCTAATGTTGACAAATTGAGACAAACTGGACATCAACAAACTTAAAAGCTCTCATTTTCCTGTCCATTTTTTTACAGCACATCAGCCCTTCAAACCAGACCTGATATCCCAGTTGGAGAGGGAAGAAAAGCTTCTGATGGTGGAGACAGAGATCCAAAGAGGTGGGTGTTCAGGTGAGAACTGTGCAGCAGGAACACAGCAACCATGGAACTCCTTCTAGAACACCAGTCAGAACATGTCACTTCTCTGTTTAAACTCTCTAGTGGCTTCCCATTTTGCACCTAGTCAATCTAAAGTACTTCAAAGATATCTGTCCCCTCAACTCCCTTTAACTTTCCATATTCACTTCCTTTTTTTGTTCGGTCTTTTCCAGCAGCACTGCCCCATTGCTGCCTCTCAGACTTGTCACTTATGCTTCCACGTCAGGTTCCTTGCTTTTCCCCCTGCCTTGAGTGAATGAATTTGTTAATAGATGCATGATCTTGTTAAAAGATGCATGATCTCTTCGCTCTTCAATCCACCTTGAGACAGCTAATAGGTATAGGATAAATCCATGGAATTGAAGGATACTCCAGCCAGAATGTTGCTTGTCATCTAATGAATCCCTGTCCTGTTTAGCTGCCCTTGGGTCTTCACAGATAGGTAGCCATTAATCCTAAAAGATAAGAATGCCAGTCAACTAAAGGAAGTATCAGAAATGAGCAATGCCGGCTGGGCGCGGTGGCTCACGCCTGTAATCCTAGCACTCTGGGAGGCCGAGGTGGGAGGATTGTTTGAGCTCAGGAATTCGACACCAGCCTGAGCAAGAGCGAGACCCCATCTCTACTAAAAAAATAGAAAGAAATTAGCTGGACAACTAAAAATATTTAGAAAAAGTTAGCTGGGCATGGTGGTGCATGCCTGTAGTGCCAGCTACTCAGGAGGTTGAGGCAGAAGGATCGCTTGAGCCCAGGAGTTTGAGGTTGCTGTGAACTAGGCTGACGCCACGGCACTCTTTGCGACAGTCTTACTCTGTTGCAAATAATAATAATAATAATAATAAATAATGATCAATGCCAACATTATAATCGGCCTTCCCCATACAGCAATTTCAAGTGAGACAGTCTTGAATTCATGTGCCCAGCTTCTTACCTTCCCATTCTGTCCTCTCCTCTCACCCTCCCATCCTCCAACTTGTGAACAGTCTTTTGACATACTTATAGTTCTGAAGAAGGATTTTCAAATGGACATTTATGTGAGTCCGAACATTTTGGTAATGTTCTCGAGTCCTCTAGGCTCTGACATCAAAAGTCACCGTCACAACTGTGTGGAGCTAAGGATGCTCCTGGGTAGGAAAAAAGAGTCAATAAGAAATTTTAAAACAACTTAATTCACATCTACTAATTTTTGTTTCTATCTTGGTTAAAATGCAGGATCCTACATGGTGCTCCTGAGAGCGGGGGTCAATAAACTTTTTATCTGGAGGTCCAGATGGTAAACACTGTAGGCTTTTCTGGCCACATACGGTGTTTGTCACATATTCTTTGTTTTTCTTATGCCATTTTAAAAAAGTAAAAACTATTCTTAGCTCGTGGGCTGTATGAGAACAGGCCAAGGCCATAGATAGTGTTCCAATCTCCCTGCCTGATACCATCAGTAGGAACATAATGTCACCTTTTCAAATATCTTAATTTTCTTTACATACACTAACATGTTTATGTACTTTATATTAATGTAAAATTTGATCATATACATTCTTATTTTTAATATACTAATTTTTCTCCATTGATACTTTGGGGAAATCCCTCTTAGTCTAAGATTATAATACTTTTATTTATTTTTTGTCATAGATACATAATCTAGTATGTGAAGATAATGTGCATCATTTAGCCATTTCCCACTTGATGGGCATTAGCTTCTTTCTTTCTTATTTTTTAGATTATTACAGACAGTACAGCAATAAAAATCCCAATCCAAATGTTCTTGGGTCCTGGTGATTGTATTTCTATGGAATAAATTAACCTGGTGACTCACATAGTAAAACCACTCTTTACTGAGCATTAAGTTTGGAGTTGTAACCAAAATAAACACTTAGTCTCCATTGGCTTTCCTGTAACCTGTGGGAGCTGATTTGATTTACTCAGGTGAAGAAACATTTTTAAATTGAGGATTCTTATAACCCACCCTCTTGGCAGTTCCCCCCTAGAAGAAATAGCTCTATCTGCATTTACACTGGGAAAGAGTAAGATGTCTACAGATAATAGCTTCTAAACTATCCATTTCTTTGCAAGATTTTCTAAATTGCAGCCCATGCGTCTCTTCAAAGTCATCATCCACATTCCTGCTCCCTAGAGTCCCTTTTCCTATCCTGGGCAGAGAAGATTCAGGATGAGAGAAGCAAGAACAATGAAGAGTGACACCCTTCTTTCTCTCCATCCCCTATTCAAAAATAGGCTATGTTATTTCTTTACCTCTGTTCCCCACAAGTTCTCTGTTAGATAAACAACTGATGACGTAGATTTTAGAGTTTCAAACCTTTGCTCTCATTAAGATCTAGTGTATAATTTTCAATGGGCAAACATTGCAACCTGAGAAATAAGGAATTTTTACACCCTCATGGTTCATATATCATGAAGGAGAGAAAGAATATATTTCAAGTGGTAATTTCTTCCTTATATTTTGAATCTACAGTCCATGTAGACATGAAATCAGGAGATGCAAGCCTACCTATTGATATTTTTCCAAGATTTCACATTTGAACTTTTTATTTGAGCCCTACAATTGTTTGATTAAGGACTTTATCTCTTCTTTAACTATTCAGACCAGTGGTTTTCATAAGTTTTTGGCTGTGACCCTCAATATGTAATGTAACTGAGGACAGACCCATGTATATGTGTCTGACAGCCAAAACCATTCATAGGCCCCACCTATGGGTCTTTTAGATCTCATACTTTCATTTCATCCCCAAGAGATTCTTGTGACCTTTGCTTTTCTCATCATCAGCATCATCCTGAGTGTAGCCCTACCTCTCCTAGAGCCTTTCAACTTTCCAGCAAAATTGCCACCAACACTAGTTCTTTTCTCACTAAAAATAACTTATATGTACACACCTTTCTAGTTCTGTGAGAATAACTCAAACTGTGCTTTATGCATCCGTATTTATTGAACAACTACTATTCAGTAGGCATTGTTGTAGGCAGTGAGGGTGATGCAGTGCACAAAACACAGTGCTGGTGCTTGTGGATAATCCATTCCAGTGTAGAGAGAGAGACAAACACAAAGAAAATAAGGGAGAATTACGTTTGAGGATAATATTCACAAAAATATCCCCCTTTATTGCTTTCTTTTCTGGATGCTATAGAGACTTGATGTGCTGTCAAGTGTTAGAAGAGTGCACTTGTTTATTAATTTAACCTCATTTAACCAGATGTCCTCAGGGAGTATATTTCTCACCAGGATATGAAGTTATGCTGTCTGCTTATAATCGGAGCTTTAATAACTAGGTGACAAGTCATTTCTACCCAAATATGCCTGTCTTCAACTCTTTCTGGTACCTCAGATTCCCTAAACATTCATTTTCCAGTAAAATGACACAAGCCAAGGTAAGTATTCATTGTGTTTTGTTCTTGGCCAATGAGTGCCTCAAAGGATACCTGTAGGTGCCAACATTTTTTTCTGATATCTTTTGAATTGAATTCTATCATTGTGTTTCACATTATGACCTGGACTGTGGACCTTTGTAATTATGAAATATCTTTTGAAAGGAGTTAAAACTGATAATGGCTGACAGTGACTTAGAGGAGCTTATTCATGTGAGGATAAATAACTCATGCCTCAAGCATAGGTTAAAGGTCTGTATTTACCTTCGTCCAGCTTTTAACACACGGTCTCTTTACAAACAAATAATATAACCATGTCCATATGCCAGAGAAAAAATAAAAAGTTATTATCAGGACAAAAAGCACTTGTCTACTTGCAACTATATTCTTTCCAATTTGAGAATATTCTGTTCTCTTCTTCAGATCTCCAGGCAACCCATGCTAAGCCCGTGATACATGTTTATGGTTTTACTAGGCCTTTTGAGCAGGGCCATCATGTTTGATGTCCAGGTTGTGTTGCGAAGCCCTGATTCTGAGGCACACAGCCTGAATTATGTGGATCCTACTTATATACAGGTTTAGTATTCATTATCTGAAATGCTTGGGACCAAATTTTTAGAATATTTGCATTATATTTACCAACTTAGCAAACCTAATCTGAAATATGAAATGCTCCAATGAGCATTTCCTTTGAGCATCATGTTGAGCACTCAGAAACTTCCAGATTTTCGAATACTTTAGCTTTCAGATTTTAGATTAAGGATACTCAACCTGTACCTGGTGATAGCCAAAGAAGCAGCATTTTCTAAGAATTCTTAGAAGCCATGATATGAATTTTCCTCTGATTCATTTTATGATGTAAGTGTAAAATCTTGAAATCTCTGAATAAATCATTGACTTGTGCATATGTCTGAATTCTTTTATTGTTACAGGAAACAAGAATCAACAAAAGATGGAGAGTATTCAAGAAGTGGGATTAAGCTACCTATCCCCCAAAGAGCTTTCTTCCTGGCAACAAGATGCAGATGGGTTAGTCAGTTGTCAAGATTCCATGAAAAATTTTCCAGGGAGGAATTCAGAGTTACAAGAACAAGGCGATTCCCTCTGCCACGTTCAGACAGTAATACCAATTCATATTTCTGAAGATGAGAACTATACATTAACTCATATAGGAGATGGTTCCAATTATATAAAAAGTCAAGAGTTTCCTTCTTGGAGGGCCCAGCATTCTTGGAGGAAAATGTATCTGACAGCGTCACATAATTATCAGTGTAGATGTCAGCAAATTTCCATGAAAAATAATTTTTATAAGTGTGACAGCATCAGTTGGGTCTCACATCACAACGATAATCTAGAAGTACAAAGAAAAGAAAAAAACTACAGCTGCCATGACTGTGGCAAAGATATCATGAAGGTATCCTTTCTTAACCAGGATTCAATTCAAGCAGGGCAGAATCCCTTCCCATGTACTGAGTATAGAAAAGCCTTCAGTAATGACTCTAGCTCTGAAGTTCATCAGCAGTTCCACTTGGAAGGGAAGCCCTGTACATACAATCCATGTGGAAAGGTCTGTAGGAATAGTCTAGTTCTTCATATTCATCAGAATATTCAGAGAGAAGAAGATGGTGGTGAGAGCTCACATCTGCAGTCCCATCAGAGAGAACGTACAGAGGAGAAACCATGTAAATGTGGTGAATATGGTGAGAACTTGAATCAGTACTCCTCCCGTAATACTTACGAGCTTATCCACTCAGGGGAGACGTCCTATAGGTGCAACATTTATGAGAAAGCCTTCAGTCATAGCTTAGCCCTTAATAGTATTTTTAGGGTTCAAACTAGGCAGGAGCCCCATGAATATGAGGAGAATGGGAATGTCTTTAATGAGAGTTCATGTCTTCAAGTCCATCAGAAAATCCACACTGAAGAGAAACTATACACGGGTATAGAATATGGAAAGGGTTTCATTTGTCGTTCAAATCTTAACATTCAGCATAGGGTTCACATGAAAAAGAATCCCTATAATTCTGAGGAATGCAATAATGGCTTCAATCTGGCCTCACATTTTCAAGATCTTCAGGTAGTCCACAGTAGGGAACAACCATATAAACATTATATATGCAGTAACAGCTTCAGTCAAAATTTGTATCTTCAAGGCCATCAGAAGATTCACATTGGAGAGAAAACTTATGATGAGTGTGAGAATGTCTTCAACTGGAGTTCAAAACTTAAAGATCATCAGAGAGTTCATACTGGACAGAAGCCCTACAAATGCAATGCATGTGGCAAAAGCTTCAGTCATAGATCAGTTCTTAATGTTCATCAGAGAGTCCACACAGGAGAAAAACCTTATAAATGTGAGGAGTGTGATAAGGGATTCAGTCGGAGTTCATACCTTCAAGCCCATCAGAGAGTCCACACCGGAGAAAAGCCATACAAATGTGAGGAATGTGGGAAGGGCTTTAGTCGGAATTCATATCTTCAAGGCCATCAGAGAGTTCACACTGGAGAAAAACCATACAAGTGTGAGGAATGTGGTAAGGGCTTCAGTCGGAGTTCACACCTTCAAGGCCATCAGAGAGTCCACACTGGAGAAAAACCATTCAAATGCGAGGAGTGTGGGAAGGGCTTCAGTTGGAGCTTTAATCTTCAAATTCATCAGAGAGTTCACACAGGAGAAAAACCCTATAAATGTGGAGAATGTGGTAAAGGCTTCAGTAAGGCCTCAACTCTTCTAGCCCATCAGAGAGTCCACACGGGAGAGAAGCCTTACCAATGTCATGAGTGTGGCAAGAGCTTCAGTCAGAGATCGTACCTTCAAAGTCATCAGAGTGTCCACTCTGGAGAGAGACCATATATATGTGAGGTATGTGGGAAGGGCTTCAGTCAGAGAGCATATCTTCAAGGTCATCAGAGAGTCCACACTAGAGTGAAACCATATAAATGCGAGATGTGTGGGAAGGGCTTTAGTCAGAGTTCACGCCTTGAAGCACATCAGAGGGTTCACACAGGAGGGAAACCATACAAATGTGAGGTGTGCACAAAGGGCTTCAGTGAGAGTTCACGCCTTCAAGCACATCAGAGAGTCCATGCAGAAGGGAGACCCTATAAATGTGAACAGTGTGGTAAAGGTTTCAGTGGGTATTCCAGTCTTCAAGCCCACCACAGAGTCCACACTGGGGAGAAACCATACAAATGTGAGGTGTGTGGAAAGGGCTTCAGTCAGAGATCAAACCTTCAAGCTCACCAGAGAGTCCACACAGGAGAGAAACCATATACATGTGATGCATGTGGTAAGGGTTTTCGTTGGAGCTCAGGTCTTCTCATTCATCAAAGAGTCCATAGTGGTGATAAATTCTATAAAAGTGAAGGGTATGGTAAGGATTATCCTTCAGCAGAGAATCTACACAGAAATGAAGATTCTGTTTTGTTTTGAAGTCCTCAAATGGGAGCTGAAATTTTCCAGTCACTAGAGTTCTTTTAATATTAAAAGAATCTTTTTCAAATGAAACTGTAATGTTTCTGCCCAACTTCAACATTCATAATGGTCAGGAGACCACGCAGCAGAGACTTTTAATGAGAGGGGCTCCATAAGGGATTTTTTGTCAGAACTTCAACATCAGTCGTTGCACAGGAGCTCTGGTTTTGTAGACTTACTACAAAAGACTTACTACAGACTTAGTAAGTCTACAAAACGGCATTTCATAACTCATTGTAGGTGCTCAGTACTTTTTGCTAAATGAGAAAAGGTATGTAAATGTTTGAAAATTTTATTAAGCTCATTTTAAGGAACTTCATTTAAAATGTATTTGGAGGAGGAATCCTGCAAGTAATCTTAATAAAATCATTTCAGGCAAATACATATTACTTGAAATGTAGAACATCAAGCAGTATTGCAATCTGAAATAACATGAATTTGGTTGTAACCCTGTATTGGAATTGGTTCCTGTCCTTTGTTTCATCTTGAGCAGGGCTGTATTGAATTTCTTAACATTTGGTATACTGTATACAGTATATATACCATCAGTTGAAGTTTAGCTTTGTGTGCATTTATATGTACACATGTGTGCACTTTAAATGACAGTACAAACTGATAATGTTTCTGGTTAACTTTGCAAAAATGGAAAACTATTTTACATAATTGAATTTCTATTCCTGCCATGTGTATTAAGGCAAAGTTTTACTGTAATATTTGGAAAGTGTCAGAAATGGTTACTGATGGCAAATACTTTTTAATAAATGTCAAAGAGTTACAATACTTGGTTTTTCACTCTCCATATTTCCGTCAAAGTGCATTTGAGCTGCCTGATTTCTAAGTGTAGCCTTTGTCCAATCCAAATCTCCTTAGGCAGAGTCTGTGATAAATTTGAAGGACTTTAATTCTGTCCTGTTCTCCAACCCTGTACTTCTCCCACTCACACACAAAAAAGGGGAAAATTCTTGAATTTTTCAAAGCATTTTATCAAATATATTGACTGTTAGGGTAGGATGGCCATTTAGTTGCTGGTCTCTATCTTTAAGAGCAATGTGTTTGTTGGTGGGAGTGAAAAATACATGCTTGTCATCAAATATATATTTAAAAAATCAAGTTCTCTATATATTGCAAAATGTAAAATGTGCATCTGACAATCATAGAATTTATGATTAATCTTAACAGTGAGAAAAGATCTTACAATAGTAATTTTTTAAACTGGAAATAAATGCCCATCAGTAGGAATGTGGCTGTTTCTATATGTTCCTATATTATGGAGCTACAGAAAGTATGGAATAGATCTAAAATGACAAGAAAGGATCATACATATTGTTTAGTGAAAATGAGGATTGTACCTTTATATTATCCAGTTAATTTAAGTCCGTATACATATATGTTCAAAAACATGCTTATAGATGAGGTGTGGAAGGTTACTCATTATGATTGCAGTGGTAGGTTTTTCTGTTTGTTTTTGTACTTGGTTTAAAAACACTGGGCTGGGTGCGGTGGCTCATGCCTGTAATCCTAACATTCTGGGAGGCTGAGGCAGGAGGATTGCTTGAGCTCAGTAGTTCAAGACCAGCTTGAGCAAGAGTGAGACCCTGTCTCTACTAAAAATAGAAAAAATTAGCCGGGCATGGTGGCATGTGCCTGTAGTCCCAGCTACCCAGGAGGCTGAGGCAGGAGGATCACAGGAGCCCAGGAGTTTGAGATTGCTGTGAGCTAGGCTAATGCCATGGTACTCTAGCCTGGGCAACTGAGTGAGACTGTCTCAAAAAGAAAAACATTTATAAAGAACATTTCCTAATTTTACCAAAGAAATGACCAACTCTTGAGATATTATCCTTATACTTAAGAACTCATTATGTGATTACTCTGTTTCATTACATGGCATTATGGCCAGAATTATAAAAAACCTAATGTTAATTTTTAAAATTTTCTGGATTTTTGAGGATACAGATAAGTTAGGTTTTTACAACTTTGTCTTTCTGTGAAATTTCATTAGGTCTCAAAGTCCACATAGCTGAGGATGTGCTAGTGGAATCTAGTAGTAGAAATTGATACATCACATTTTTTCTGTCAGATTTTCCTATGTTGGATGAATAGGATGCCCAAAGCTCTGGATTAACCTGGATTCCAAGGTGCTGGTTCAAGTTGTACAGTATCATCAGAAATCCAAGGCTTCTAATGCATTTCTTTGCTGTTATCACTTAAACAGGGAGATCATGAGAGCTCGTGGTAGTTTTATCAGTTACGATGTTTTTAGTTATAAGTATCAGAAAATTCAGGACTGTTTAAACCAAAAATTTTTTTACTTCATATAAATGATAAGATACAGCTAGGGTAAGATTTGGGTCTGGGTGAGACGGGACCTTTATATTGCTTTTCTTTAATTCTCTTGTGTCCTTTTATGTGAACTTTAGTCTTCAGCTTGTTCTCAATATGGCAGTATCACTTGCTTTTTTTGTTCACAGCTGAGGGAAGAAAGCCTCTGTCTCAGTTTATTATATATACTTCTGGCTCCTCAAAATGCATAGGATCTCTGGCCCTCCTATTTCCACTCAAGACTGAGACTAACCAAGATAAAAGAGGAAATCCCTGGATCCTACAAACAGGCTTGTCTACTCCTAGTGACAAGCAATAGCGGGCTACCTCTAGGTAAAGAGAAGAACATGGGCAGATAATCCTGCAGAACAGGTGCACATGTATGACCAAAATCTAAGGATTGAACAGGAGCATTGAGAAAAATCCTCTAGTACTCCAGCTCCCACTCTAAGCACAAGGGAAACACTAGAGAAATTTGAAGTCAGTGCTACCCTTAAGATAAATATTGAAACAACAAAATCCAATGCCTGACTAGATCAATTCAGTTCTCCACCCTAACATCCTAGCTGAACAGATATGTAGGTCCAATTCCAGGAGAAAAATACGATTTACTTCAGTCTCTACTATTCTATATATGTTATTAATATCTGGCATTTGATTTTTTTAAAAAATACAAGATTAAAAAGTGAGAATAACCTTCTGCCAAGAGACAACAGGCCAGTTAATAAAATCACACTTAGAGATGACCATATTTTAGAATTACCAGACAGGAAATTATACATAACTGATTAATATGCTAAAGGCTCCATTGAAAAGGGCAGACGACATGCATGAACAGATGGAGGACTTCAGTGGAATTTAGTAGTCAAATGGGAAATGATAGAAAAGAAAATTTAGCATAATGCTTTAGCTTTTATCAGAATGCTTTTGAAGAACAAATTGGCTCCGCTGAGAAAAGTGTCAGAGAAGTTGAATTGAACTTTATATTGAAGATAATATAAATTACCCAAACTAAAACACAAAAAAGGTGTGCAGAAAACAATAACAATTGGACAACATTGTAGGATCTCATATTTGCATAATTGGAAGCCCGAGGTGGGGGAGAAGAGAGCAAATGGGAAGAAAAGATATTTAAGGAGATAATGGCTGAGAATTTTCCAAACATAAAAGATTTCACTCAGATCCAAGAACTTGAGAATACCAAAGCATGATTTAAAAAAAAAAACAGGCACATCATTGACAAACAGCTCACAATGGACAATGCGAAGAAAATATTAGTAGCAGAGAAAAAGAATACCTTACAAACAAGACTTCTCATCAGAAACCATTCAAGCCAGAAGACAATGGAGTTACATCTTTAACATTTTGAAACAAAAATACTGACAATCAAAAACTATAAACCCATTGGGAAAAAAATCAGTGCAAAATAAAGACTTTTTCAGGTGGAACAGAAGTTAATAGAATTCACTATTGGCAGACCTGCACTGTAAAATATTAAAAGACTGCACAGATAGGAAGAATAGCATACCAAAAATAGATTTGGATATACCAAAACAAAGAACTATGAAAATCATTAAGATGAGGGTAAATATAAAATTTTATTTCACTTTATTAATAAAATACAATTTACTAAGGCAAAAATAGGGGGGAGGTTTTATGAGTTTATAGCATATATAAAAGTAAGATGGTTTGTAACAGTACCACAAAACGGCGGACAGAAATTGGAAATACACCATTGTATTCTGTGCATGAATTGGCATAATATTACTTGAAGATAGACTGTGAAAAACTATAGGCATATATTTTAAGCCCTAGAGAAACCATTTAAAAAGTTTTTCAAGTGCTACATCTTATAAACCAGTAGTGGAGATAAAATGGAATCAGAGGACTTCCAGTTCCAAAATGGCAGCATAGAAACTGGCTTCACTACCCTGGCCCAACAAAAACAAAAATCATGTATACAGCACGAAGATTATCACCAGCAATATCTGACTGAGAACTCAAAAATAAAGTGGACACAGTTCCTAGGACCACAGAGAAGTAAAAAAGCTCCAAGAGAATTGGACTTCTGTATCTGCAATGCTCCCTCCTAATACTGCCTGCAGAAAATGCTCCCCATCCCCAACACACACACTAATGGTTTCTACACTGGAAAAAGATCAAGGTGAAAGGAAGCTCAGCAATCTCCAAGATGACACAGAAAGGTAATTCAGAAATTTATCAGAGAAATTTAGCAAAGGGATTAATTAAACTAATAAACAGAAATCTTAGAACTGAAAAACACATTTGCTGAACTGAGAATTTCATTAGAGGCACTCAATAGTGGAATGGTTCAAGTTGAGGAAGGAATCAATGAGCTTGAAGATAGGCTATTTGAAAATATGCAACCAGAGGAGAAGAAAAATAAAAACTAATGAAGATTGCCGGCTGGACACCTGTGGCTCAAGCCTGTAATCTTAGCACTCTGGGAGGCCAAGGCAGGTGGATCGTTGGAGCTCAGGAGTTTGAGACCAGCCTGAGCAAGAGGAAGACCCCCATCTCTACTAAAAATAGAAATTAATTGGACAGCTAAAAAATATATAGAAAAAATTAACTGGGCATGGTGGTGCATGCCTATAGTCCCAGCTACTCGGGAGGCTGAGGCAGAAGGATTGCTGAGCCCAGGAATTTGAGGTTGCTGTGAGCTAGGCTGACGCCATGGCACAGTAGCCTGGGCAACAAAGTGAGACTCTGTCTCAAAAAAAAAAAAAAAAAAAAAAAGATTGCCTACAAGATCTAGAAAATTACCTCAAAAGACCAAAACCTAATCGTGCACTTCAAGTAACTAGAAAAGCAAGACAAACCAAACTCCAAATTAATAGAAGGAAAGAATAAAGATCAGAGCAGAAATGAAATTGAGACTAGAAAAATGATATAGATCAATGAAATGAAAAGTTGGGTTTTTTTGAAAAGATAGAATTGACAAGTCTTTGGCTACATTAAGAATAAAAGAGAAGACCCAAACAAATAACATCAAATTTTAAGAGACATAACAACTGAGACCACAAAAATACAAAAAATCATTAGAGACTATTATGAATGATGATAAGCCAACAAACTGGAAAACGTAGAAGAAATGGGTAAATTCCTGGACACAGGCTGGGAGTTCCAGACCAGCCTTGGCAACATAGAGCCTCTCTCTACAAAAAATTAAAAAATTAGCCAGGTGTGGTGGCACCTGTCTGTAGTCCTAGCTACTGACAGGCTGAGGCTGGAGGATCACTTGAGCCCAGTTGTTTGAGGTTGCAGTGAGCTATGATCACACCACTGCACCCCAGCCTGGGTGACAGTGAGACCTTAATAAGTAAGTGAAGTTCAAGGTATTTTTCTGTCCTAATCAATGTTTGTATCCCCTTTTTTTTGTAGGTTCTTAGCATATTGGAATGAATAGCTCATTGCACAAAACACAGTCAAAAGCCCCTTGGTGCCTTGTGGAATAAAGGAGACGAACACGTTACTCCCTTCTCTCTTCACGTCTCCACTCCCAGACATACACACAGCTTGGTCACTAAGAACGGAAACTTCTTCCTTCTCTGACAGTTCAGTTTCTATTCTACACCAACGTGACTGTTCAGCTGTCTTCATTAGCATGCCTTTATCCCAGGATACTCCTGCCCAAGCAAACCGCTTGATTTATTATAGGAACTTCCACAAAGGCCAAGTGACTGTTCAGTCTCTTCCGAGAGAGTATCAACAGATTGTACCTTAAGATTCCTTGCCTCAAAAACACTTGCTATTTCCAACAATCCTGGCTGTAGTATCATGATCATTACGAAATCCTAATCAGGTTTCCTGCATTGAAAGACTTGTTCGCCTTAAACCTAACTTCCAATATTTTCAATCAATTCCGACCTGGTCTTGACACTTTGCTCTGTCAAGGTGCAAAGCTCTGCCGGAGTGGTGTTCTTCCTTACAGCGTTATAAACTTTTTTGTTTTTTTTTTTGTCTTATCAACAGGTTGAATTGGTGGTATTGGGGAGCTGGCATTCCACACAAGTTTGAGATCCAGCGTTCCTTATGCCACAGCTCAGCCAATGTCACTTATACCTTTCCCACTTTTAGCCTACCCTTTGCTTCCCCTAAAAATTTTGGTTTTTAGCTTATTTTCATAACGCAAGCTTCGCTTTTCTCTTTGATACGGCTGCGCTTTTTAAAATTTGCCATTACTTTCTCATGAGCTTCTACAAATGAATAAAACGAAAAGGAATCTGACAGTAACTGCGCCGGGTAACTGACTCACACCGAGCCCCCAGTAGTCAAAGCAAAAGCCTTCTCAGCCGGTGGGAAACGCCGTCCTTCGAGCATTCTGGGAAATGTAGTCCAGGAGGCGCGAGAACGCCGCGGCGCTTCCGCTCGGGGATTCTGGGAAGTGGAGTTTGTTAACTGCGTGCAGGCGGAGGCACTTCCGCTCCAGGAAGGCGAGGTCGGCTCTGAGATTGCTCCCGGGGCGGTGAGTCAGCCCCGGGTCCCCAGGACCTCCGCGAGCCTCCCGGCCTGGGCGCGGGGCCAGCGGTGACCTGGTCCTTGGCGTGGGCGAGAGAAGCCGCGGCCAGCGATGGAGGGCGGGGCTGGGAGGCGGCGGCAGTTAGCGTCCCCCCGGCGGAACCTGCCGCGTTGGGGGCGGGCTCGCGTCGTGCTTAGAGTTTGAGGGTCTCCCGCGCTCTCCGCTGCCCCAGCCCTGCTCCCAGACGCGCCAGCCAGCTCCGTTTCCTCCTCGCTGCGAAATACTGGGCAAGTTACTTAATCTCTCCTTGTCTTCGTTTCCTCGTGGCTATAAAGTGTTAGTGCGTTCCCAGTGATGTTTTTATGGGAATTAAATCAGGTTTTTAAAAATACATACATATGCTATATATATAGCTTAAAAACAGTAACTAGTGCATAGTAAAATGTTGGATGCTACCGTTAATTCTGTGGTAGTGCTGAAAAGAAGCACCTGTTGTTTGGAAGCTCCTCTGAGCTCAGGATGGGGTCGGAGCTCCAGCTGCGGAGCCTCTACCTCCTCTCTGGTATTTGCCTGATGAGGGGCTGTACCTGGGTTCCTGGACTTTCCTAGACTAGAAAATAAGTAGAAATGCCAGTGTTTGAAGCCAGGCACTTGGGCTGCATTCCATTACCCTGTCTACCTCTGGGGAGCTACAAGAAGCATTTGGGTTAGGACTGTTATATGGATTGTTCATGAACAAAGCAGTTGGCTGAGGGGGCCCAGTGGTAGCTGGAATCCAGCTCCTGTTCTCACTAACCTGTTACAGCTGTGTCTGCCTAGAGGAAGGGACACCTCTTTCTGTTCACATGAAGTGCCATGTGGACTAATGGCATTCTTAGCTTATCTCATGATGTCTTTTCCTTCCCCAGTTTCGCCTTCCCCGAACTCCGCCTTTTCTCAGAGGAAAGAGGAGAAAAATGACCAAGTTCCAGGTAAGTTTGGTTTGCCTTTCTGTTCCTTAAAATGACATGTCATTTCACAAAGACTGGATACGTTTTTCCTTGCTTGCCAAGGGTAAAAGGGAAACAAAGGCACTTGAGAGATTATTATAAGCCAAGTTTTTGCCTTTTGCTTCCAAATAATAGTATTTAAAAGATCAGGTCTCTTAAAAACGGAAAATAATTCCCACATTGTAAACATGCTTACAATCATTTTCCCACTTTCCTTTTCATTTGTATTACAGGTATACATACATCTATAATCATACTTTAGGTACAGTTTTGAATTTTTAAAATTTAATTTTACGTCACCTACATTTTAAATGGTTACATCATTTTCCATAGTTTACCTAATTTTATTTTTTGTTATTTTCCATATTTATGTGGTCGATGAATTTTGCCATTTTAAAGACTTTGGCAATGACTGTGTTCCTACATAAAACTTTTCTTCCCAAATAGGGATTCCAAGAATTCTGCCATTTCATTATTTTATTTTTTGAGATGAGGTCTTGCTCTTTTTTCTGGGCTAGAGTGCGGTGGCATCATCAAAGCTCACTGCAGCCTCAAACTCCTGAGCTCAAGTGGTCCTCCTGCTTCAGCCTCCCGAGTAGCTGGGACTACATGTGTGTGCCAACTTGCCCAGCTAATTTTTAATTTTTTGTAGAGACAGAGTCTCTCTCTTGCTCAGGCTGGTCTCGGACGCCTGGCCTCAAGCAGTCCTCCCATCTCAACTTTCTAAAGTGCTAGGATTACAGGCATGAGCCACTGCCCCCAGCCACCATTTTTTTTTTGTCCTGAAAGTTTTAGAGATTCAGTTGTTTTCTCATATGTGGTGCCTCATTTTGCATGGGTTGGTGCGATAGGATCTGATCCTTGACTAAGAGGAAATAATTTTAGTTGTTTCAAATGAGAAGAGCTGGATTTTTTTTTCTTTAACTCTAAGCTAAACCATGTATTATAGTTAAGTAACCGTTTTATTCATTAACATGTTAGTATATTTTTAAAAAGTACACACTTAGTTTAAAAGTCTAATAGTACTAGGGGATTTACCAGGCATTTATCCAATGGAACAGCTTTGTGAGGATGTCGATGGTCTTACCTGTATTTTAAACATAAAGAGACGGGTTTGTTGGCCGGGCGCGGTGGCTCACGCCTGTAATCCTAGCACTCTGGGAGGCCGAGGCGGGCGGATTGCTCGAGGTCAGGAGTTCGAGACCAGCCTGAGCAAGAGCGAGACCCCGTCTCTACTATAAATAGAAAGAAATTAATTGGCCAACTAATACATATAGAAAAAACTAGCCGGGCATGGTGGCACATGCCTGTAGTCCCAGCTACTTGGGAGGCTGAGGCAGGAGGATTGCTTGAGCCCAGGAGTTTGAGGTTGCTGTGAGCTAGGCTGACGCCACGGCACTCTAGCCTGGGCAACAAAGCGAGACTCTGTCTCAAAAAAAAAAAAAAAAAAGAGACGGGTTTGTGAACCTTTAGATACCTATTGAAGTACACTCACTGCCCACCTGACACTAAAGTTTCCAGTGCCTAAGTCAGAAATTTTAGGTGTTCCATTTGGATGAAGAAGAGAGTTATCCATTCAGGGACTTGAGACTACATTAGATGTGTACTTGGCATGTCCTGGATAAAGGGCTCCAAAAATAACATTGCTTACCTGGTTCCCCTTCTTAGTGCCTGGGTGTCAGCTGGTTGTTTAATACATAGATGGGACCGTGACCGGTGGCTCACGTCTATAATCTTAGCACTCTGGGAGGCCGAGGCAGGCAGATTGCTCGAGGTCAGGAGTTCGAAACTAACCTGAGCAAGAGTGAGACCCCATCTCTACTATAAATAGAAAGAAATTAATTGGCCAACTAATATATATAGAATAAAATTAGCCAGGCATGGTGCTGCATGCCTGTAGTTCTAGCTACTTGGGAGGCTGAGGCAGCACGATTGCTTGAGGCCAGGAGTTTGAGGTTGCTGTGAGCTAGGCTGACGCCACGGCACTCACTCTAGCCTGGGCAACAAAGTGAGACCCTGTCTCAAAAAAAAAAAAACAAAAAAAATAGATGATCATAAGTCCAGTCAAAACAAATGCAGGAATGAGCATAGTCTTTAGACAAAAAAATTTTCATTTCCATATGGAAAGACACCATTTACAAAGTTATGAGACAAATAGGAAATGGGTGGGGGTGGGAACTTATACATGTTAGAAAAAAGTTTAATCTTAATAGGAATCTTTGTGATGTATAAGATACAATGATTGAGCAAAGGAAGTCAACAATATGTGAAAAAAAATCAAAAGATCTCTTTTTAAAAATTAAGTAAATGGAAATTCTTAAAAAGAATCCTCCCCCCCTTTTTTTAATCACTTACCAACTTACCCAAGATTTAAAAAATAAGATAATGTCCAGTTTTGGCCAGAGTGTGGAGAAACAGGAACACTTATGATCTCTTACAGAAACAGTTAATTGAGAAAATTAACCATTATACTAATAAAATGTGTATATATTTTTGATAATGCAGAGACTACTTCTTAGAACTTGTCCTAAGTAAATACCCAGACAAGTTGGCTGACATCTATGTAGAAATATGTTTTTTGCAGCATTGTTTATAATTTTAAAATTTAAAACTATTGAATTATGCATTATTTGGAATGATTAAATACATCATAGATCATCATTGTCATGGAGTACCACGCAGCCATGAATGGGATGAAATAGATGGTGATGATAATAGTCATGGCTGACATTTATTGTTCACTTACTATAGGTCAGATGCTATCCTAAAATCTTACATGTTTTCACTTATTTAATTCCTTCAACGACTCTATAACATAGGTCCTGTTATACAGATGTGGAAATTAAGGCACTGAAAAGTTAGGTAACTTGTCCAAGGTCACAAAACTAGTAATGGACAGAGCCTTGGAATGTGAACTGAATGTGAACTTGGAATGAGGCAGGCAGTCTCCAGGGCCTGTGCTCTTAACCTTGGCTCTGAATGTTCTGACAAAAGAGCAACTGACAGATAAAGCATGTTCCTCTAAGTAAGTTCTAGGGACTTAACTATGTAAAGAGCACTGTATTATATGTACTAGGTATTTTTTTTTTTTCTTTTTTCCCCAGTAGCATTTTTGGTGTGATTATGGAAGAGGAAGAATAGGAACTATACTATAAAAGAGTTGTTCGGGTGCCAGTAGCCATTGGGTATAAGATTGAGGCTACATGTGCTTGTTGTAGGAGGCAGTGACATTCAAGGACGTGGCTGTAGCCTTCACCGAGGAAGAGCTGGGGCTGTTGGACTCTGCTCAGAGGAAGCTGTACCGAGAAGTGATGCTGGAGAACTTCAGGAACCTGGTCTCAGTGGGTGAGGACACGGCCCCCTGTAATTTGGCAGACTTTCTCAACCTCCACACCATTGACATTTTGGGCCATGTAATTCTTTGTTGTAGGGGGCTATCCTGTGCATTTTAGGATGTTTTGTAGCATGCCTGGCCTCTGCCCACAAGTTCAACCGTTTGGGACTCCTCAGAGACCAGAGTTTTCCAGTTCCCTTGGAACATAGAGAAAAGATATTTCTGGTCTTTCTTCGAAGGCAAATGTTTCTTTATAAATGAACTATAAATGAGCAGTTGAGCATGGCTGCTTCTGTCTCCTTATTTCATGTATCTTTTTTTAAACTTTGGGTTATGATCTGTTGGTGGGTCATGAAATTTAATAAATTCCATCAGCATTTTTGTAATAAAATAAAGCAATAGTATCAGAGCTCTTTAACCAGAAATGGTGCACATTTTTAGCAATAACTGTAGCTGCTTGTAGTAAAAATATAAAATGAAAACAGACATTGGTTAGAAACAGGTCCTTTAATCTTTTATTTTGATAGTTTGTATAGGATAGTATTGTATTTCTAATGATAGCAAATGTATTTCTTACAATGTATCATGATAAAAAAATGTTTGATAAACTTTTGTGGGGGCAGGGCATAGCCTTACATTATGGGATTGGAAGGAAAATTTTTTAGTACTCTTTTCCTTTAACATTTCCCCTTAAATCTTATCTTTTCTCAGGACATCAGTCCTTCAAACCAGATATGATATCCCAGTTGGAGAGAGAGGAAAAGCTCTGGAGGAAGGAGATCCAAACCCAAATGGGCAGGCATTCAGGTGAGAACTGTGCAGCCGGGGTCATCGTACGTAGGTAACAGCCCAGTTACTCTGCCTCTACTCAGGATAATCTCTTCTCCACCCAGCGATCAGAGATGTTTTGAAAACATCTGTCACATCATGTCACTCCTCTACTTGAGACCCTCCACTGGCTTCCCACTTCACTCAGAGTAGAATCCAGTGTATTTAAGGGGCTTGTAAGGCCGTCTAAGGTTTGTCCCTTCTTGCTTTACCATTCTGTATTTTTCTCTTGTCATTTCTCACCTCCCTTTGTCTCTGCCAGCCTCACTTGTCCCTCACATGTGATGATTATGCTTCAGGGTCTTTTACTTTTCTGTGGCTGGAATGCTGTTATCCCATAAGCCTTCAGAAGCCCTCTTTCCAGGTAATTTTTTCTATATATTTTTAGTTTGCCAATTAATTTCTTTCTATTTTTAGTAGAGATGGGGTCTCACTCTTGCTTAGGCTGGTTTTGAACTCCTGACCTTGAGCAGTCCACCCGCCTTTGCCTCCCAGAGTGCTAGGATTACAGGCGTGAGGCACCGCGCCCGGCCTATATTCTGTATTCTTACAGTAAAGTTAGGTAGAGAAAAGATATTGTTAAGAAAATTATAAGGAAGAGAAAATATACGTACTTTTAAGTAGAAGTGGATCATCGTAAAAGTCTTCATCCTTGTCTTTACATTGAGTAGGCTGAGGAGGAGACAGAAGAGAGGTTGGTCTTGCTGTCTCAGGGGTGGCAGAGGCAGAAGAAAACCTACATGTAAGTGGACCCACGTGGTTCAAATCTGTTTGTTCAAGGGTCGACTGTATATACCACATTTTCTTTATCCATTCATATGTTGATGGACATTTCACCTTTTGGGTATCCTGAATAATGATGCTGTGCATATTGGTGTACAAATATCTGTTCAAGTCCTTTCAGTTCTTTTGGGTATATACCCAGAAGTGAAATTGCTAGATCATATGGTAATTCTGTGTTTAATTTTTGAGGAAAAGCCACGCTGTTTTCCACAACAGCTGCATCATTTTACAATTGGCAGTATACAAGGGTTCTGATTTCTCCACATCATTGTTAACGCTTGTTATTTTCTGGTTTTTTTGGTAGTATCCATCCTAATAGGTTTGAAGTGGTATCTCATGATGGTTTTGATTTGCATCGTTCTAATGATTAGTTATGTTGATCATCTTCTCCCGTGCTTATTGGATTTTTGTATATCTTCTTTGGAGAAATGTCTATTTAAGTCCTTTGCCCATTTTTGTATCAGATTGCTTGGTTTTTTTGGTTATTGAGTTTTGGAATGTCTGTATATATTCAGGTTATTAATCCCTTATCAGATAAGGATTCTTTTCTCACATTTGTTTATTGCTTTTTTTTTTTACTATGTTGATAGTGTGTTTTGATGCATAAAAGTTTTTAATTTTCATGAAGTCCACTTTGATTTTTTCTTTTGTTTCTTGTGCTTTTATTGTCATATTTAAGAAGTCATTGCCAAATTCAATGTTGTGAAGCTTTTGCCATATGGCTTCTTTTAAGAGTTGTATAGTTTTAACTCTTACATTTAAGTCTTTGATGAATTTTGAGTTGATTTTTGCATATGGTCTAAGGTAAGTGTCCAACTTCATTCTTTTGGATGAAAGACTGTCCTTTCCCCATTGAATGGCTGGCACTGTTAACAAAATCATTTGACCATATATGCAAGGGTTTATTTCTGGGCTTTCTAGTCTATTCCGTTGGTCTGTATATCTTTATGCCAGTACCACATGTTTTGGTTGTTGGAACTTTTAAATAAGTTTTCAAATCAGGAAGCGTGATTCCAACTTTTTTCTTCTTTTCAAGATTGTTTTGGGTATTTGGGATCCTTTGAGATTGCATATGAATTTTAGGATGAGGTTTTTGTTTTGTTGTTTTTTTTTTCTTAATTTCTGCAAACAAATGTTGGGATTTTGATAGGGATTGCATTGAATCTGTAGATTCTTTGGGTGATATTGATAAGAATACTAAATCTTCCTGTGCATTAACATGGGATATTTTCTCATTTATTTATATCACCTTTAATTTCTTTCAGCAATGTTTTATAGTTTTTGGTGTAGAAGTCTTTCACCTCCTTGGTTAATTCCTAAGTATTTATTATTTTTGATGCTATTATAAATGGAATTGTTTTTCATAATTTCTTTTTTGGATAATTTGTTGTTAATGTCTAGAAACCCAACTGAGTTTTGTGTGTTGACTTTGTATCCTGCTACTTTGCTGAATTTGCTTATTATTAATAGTTCTAACAGGATTTTTTTTTTTTTTGTGGAATCTTTAGGGTTTCTACATACATCATCTGTGAACAGAGATAATTTACTTTTTTCTTTTCAATTCAGGTACCTTTTCTTCTTTTCTCTTACCTAATTGCTCTGGCTAGAACTTCCAGTAGTATTATGTTGAATAGAAGTGGTGAAAATGGACATCCTTCCCTTGCTCTGATAGTAGAGAAAAGGCTTTCAAGTTTTTTCACCATTGAGTATGATATTTGCGGAGGGTGTTTCATTTATGGCTTTTATTATGTTGAATTAGATTCCTTCTGTTCCTAATTTAAGTATTTTTTCAATCATGAAAGGATTTTTAATTTTGTCAAATGTTCTTTTTTGCATTGATTAAGATGATTGTTTTTTTTTCCCTTCATTCTTTTAATGTGTTATGTTACGTTGATTGATTTTTATATGTTAAACCATCCTTGCATTCCAGGAATAAACCCTATTTGGTTGTGATGTATAATACTTTTATATAATGCTAAATTCTGTTTACTAGTATTTTGTTGATGATTTTTGCATCAGTGTTCATAAGGGATATTGGTCTGTAGTTTTATTATACTGTCTCTGTCTGACTTTGGTATCAGGGCAATGCTGGCTTCATAGAATGAGTCAGGAGGTGTTCCGCCTTCTTCAGTTTTTTGGAAAAGTGAGATGGATCAACATTAGTTCTTTAAATGTTTGGTAGAATTCACCAGTGAAGCCATTTGGTGCAGTGCTTTTCTTTGCTGAGAAGCTTTTGATCACTGATTCATTGTCTTTAGTAGTTACAAGTCTATCAGTAGTTTCTCTTCCTGATTCAGTCTTAATAGATTATATGTCTATAGGAATTTGTCCATTTCATCTAGGAATTTGTCCATTTCATCTAGGTTATCCAATTTGTGGGCATGCAGTTGTTCACAGTACTATTTTATAATCCTTTTTGTTTCTGTAAGTTCAGTAGTAATGTACCCACTTTCATTTCATGATGAATGATTTTAGTAATTTGAGTCTTCTTTATTTTTTCCTTAATTAATTTAGCTAAATGTCAATTTTGTTCATCTTTTCAAGGCACTGACTTGTTTTTGTTGATTTTTCTCTATTGTTTTTAATTCTCTATTTTATTTATTTCTACTCAAACCTTTATTAGATTCCTTCCTTCTGCTAGGTTTAATTTGTTCTTGTTCTTTCAGTTCTTTAGGTGTAAGGTTATGTTATTGTTTTGTGATCTATCTATTTTTTTTTTTTTTTTTTTTTGAGACAGAGTCTCGCTTTGTTGCCTAGGCTAGAGTGAGTGCTGTGGCGTCAGCCTAGCTCACAGCAACCTCAAACTCCTGGGCTCAAGCGATCCTTCTGTCTCAGCCTCCCAAGTAGCTGGGACTACAGGCATGGGCCACCATGCCTGGCAATTTTTTCTATATATATTAGTTGGCCAATTAGTTTCTTTCTATTTTTAGTAGAGACGGGGTCTCGCTCTTGCTCAGGCTGGTTTCGAACTCCCGACCTCGAGCAATCCGCCCGCCTCGGCCTCCCAGAGAGCTAGGATTACAGGCGTGAGCCACCGCGCCCGGCCTATCTATTTTTTTAATGTAAGCATTTACAGCTCTTAGCACTGCCGTTACTGCATCTCATAATTTTTGGCATATTGTGTTTTTATTTTCATTTGTTTCAAGATGTTTTCTAATCTAATTTCTCTTGTGATTTCTTCTTTGATCTGTTGGTTGTTTAAAGAGTGTATCATTTAATTTTCACATATTTATGAATTTTCTAGGTTCTTCTCTTAATTTCTAGTTTTATTCCATTATGATCTGAAAAGATACTTTGTATGATTTCAATCTTTTCAAATTTAGTAAGACTTTTTTGTGGTTTAACATATGGTGTGTCCTGGAGGACATTCTATGTGTATTTCAGAAAATACATATTTTGCTGCTATTGGATGGAATCTTCTGTATATGTCAGTTCCATGAATTTCAAAAATGTATACAGCATAGAAAATTAATTCTAAAATCATATATTTTCTTCTTTAAGATAATCATATAGTAAGCCACCACATGGGGGGACATATGTGATAAAAATGACTTACTGGGATACCCATTTGTAATTCCACAATTCAGTTCAGTTTTAACATTCATCCTTACGTCTTTTTCTGTTATTGAAAATTGAACTGATAATTTTCTGCTTCTCCCCCTCCTCCACACATACACTTTGGATGACCTGTTTTTTCTCCTTTCTATGACTTTAAACATTTTAAGTTTATTATTAATAAAAATAAAATATTGAAATGCACAGAAAAGTAAAGAAAATAGTACAGCAAACTCTATGCCCCACTGTCTTAGCAGTTATAACTTTCTGCTGCTCCTGTTTTATCTATCCCTCTACTTTTATTGCTGGAGTATGTCATATCACCCGGAGATTATCTGTCTAAAACAATAACTCCTTATTGTCATTTAAGGAATCACCCATTCCGTGATCACTGTGGACTTAGATATATTTTTTTCTGGAATTCTGAGGACAATCAAATGTATATTTATTTTATACTTTGGATTATAATCCAATATTGCATTGTTCCTTTTGTTGTCATGTTGTTCCTACTTTAACCATTTGGAGCTTTTTCAGGGTGGCTCTTATATTATTTTGTTTTTTGTTTTTTTTTTTTTGAGATAAGGTCTCACTTTGTTGCCCAGGCTAGAGTGAGTGCCGTGGCGTCAGCCTAGCTCACAGCA